AGAAGATGACCGTTGGTCGAAACTAGTCGCTGTTTTTACAATTGTTCTATTAAATTAGTATGGACACAGACAACATATACATATATAGTATATGTTGTCTGTGGTATGGTTTTGTGTCTTTAAGATTTAAAACGACTCTTTTATGTGATTCTGCATTAAGGTTAAATCAAATCAATTTCAAAAACAAAGATTGAAACTCACAAAAATATCAAATGCTGCATACAAAACACAAATACGATACGATATAAAGAAATGCAAAGATTACTCGCCATCGCAATTGAAAACAAGATGCCAAACGTAACCAGCGTTTGTGCCTTTCTTTCATAGTCTAAGGTTTGTGCTTTCCAGATTGCGCAGACAGCTTTTCCCCTCCTAAAAATTGCGTGGTTGCAAACTCTCAAAATTGTGTGCATCCTCGTAAGTTGAATATACAGGGTGTTAAGAGCCAATTTTCTATGTATAATTTTAGCTACTTGCTCGTGTCGATGTCTGTATTCCGTTTGTGAAAGTCGTGCACATGCCAATATATTGTGTTGGATTGTTTTTGAAGTTTATGACCGAGGCACGTGGCGCCGTGGTTGCGCTCACCGATGCTATTCTGGAGGTTGTGGGTTCGAATCCCGCTGCCGACTGCTCTGTCTGGGGTTTTGTCAGGGGGTTTTCCTCAGACATACGTAGCTTCGCATAATGCTAGCATTATGTTGAAAACTACGAGGCGAATGCTGGAGCAGTACTCGCCCCCTCAGCACCCTAACTCCGTTGCTTCCGTTCCCATCCCTAACTTTACCTATCCTTACATTCCCGTTCTCTGGCTGAAGAGGCTCTGCAAGCCTGACTCCTGAGTCCTGAGCAGCCCGCCTCCGGCGTCCCTATAGTCAAGGATGTCAAAGGAATGAAACACGACGACCTTTTCCTTTTCCTTTTTTTTTCTGATGTTTATGAATAGAGTCGGCAAGAATCATGTGTTATTGTTCTGATTTGAGTACACAAGGTAGATATCAAAACAGTGCGGAGCATTTGAGAAACTTTAGTTAAAAAAATTGTAAGAAAGGAAATAATGGTACAGTTTGTAACTAAAAATTATATAAATAATTCGACTTACAATAATAATAATAATAATAAAAAAACCCAAGCATACCCTCAAAGTACACTCCTCCAAGAAAACAAAGGAAAAAACACCAAAATCAACTAACGCAACATACACTATAAAGACAGCTCCACCCATAAAATACACGCCCTAGCACAGTTAAAAAACACATAACTCCTTCTTCACAGAAACACACCACATTTTCACAACCCACTCGTATTCAACCGCAACGCAAAAACCTTAACAGAACTACAGGCTCACAACATACTAAAATATCTCCACCAAAAACCCAAGCAACTTCACAAATACAACCTCAAGAACAAAGAAACATCATAAATACAAGTAACGCAACATGCACTACAAAGACAGGTCCCCCCAATAAAGTTACACGCCCTAGCACAATTAAAAAACACATAACTCCTTCTTCACCGAAGCACACCACGTTATCACAACCCTCGTATTCAACCCAAGACGCAAAAAACCTATTACAGCACTACTAGCTCACAAAATACTGTAATATCTCCATCAATAACCCAGCAAACCTCACCAAATACAACCTTCTAACAGTAACAAAGAAACACCATAAACACAAGTAACGCAACTGTACTACAAAGACAGGTCAATCCAATAAAGTTACACGCCTCTAGCACAGTTTAAATAAACACAATTACTCCTTCTTCTCCAGAAACAACCCACTCGTATACAATCCGAAACCGCAAAAACTCTTAACAGCACCACAGGCTGCACATAATTACTGCAAATATCCTCACCAAAACCCAATGCAACCCAAAAATACGACCTCAGGAACAAAGAAACACCATTTAAATACAAGTAAAAAAACACAAATACTCCTTCTTCACAGAAACACCACCACGTTATCACAAACCCACTCGTATCAACCCAAACGCAAAGCCAGAAGAAACACTTACACAATAAACTCCATTTAATAAATTACAGAAATTATTAATGGAATTATTTTGATTTTTTTTTTTTTGTTTTCCTCTTTCCTGATAGCGTTGGCTTTGTGCCCATCAATAGGTATGTTGGTAAGTACGAATTACATTATCCCTAGATGTCCAATGTACGTGTGTGATATTTTTTTTTTTTTTTTTTTTTTTTAAGGACCCTACATAACTTCACCAGACCCAGACACAGACACTAATCGTTACTTGATTTTAATCCGTGCGATTAGTTAACCAGGCTAGACCTGAGTTCTCACAAGAAACACCGACCATAATAATAATACACCTCTACAGCCGAAAGAAGACTACGAAGAGGACAACGACCACCTGAAGAGGACCGCCATGAAGAGACCTTTGTGCCTGCTTCTCAACCGCTTGTGGATGGGACCAGCGCAAAGGAAACCTCCAAAAGACGTATGAAATGGGACGAAGGGATGAATCGCTTCATTTTCGGTACGTATCTGGAGATCACGAAGATGGAAACGGACAGGACAGCATACAGAGGTAAACTATATCACGCGTTCATTACACAATACCCACATTTAGCACACTTAACAGAACAACGCATTGCAGACCAACGTAGAGTTATCATTAAACTATTGTGCTATTTAAGGACCCTACATACCTTCACCAGACACAGACACAGACACTAATCGTTACTTGATTTTAATCCGTGCGATTAGTTAACCAGGCTAGACCTGAGTTCTCACAAGAAACACCGACAATAATAATAATAATATATATATTGTTGTGCAGACATGTTGATACATTTACACTCGTCATTAGATAAAGAACACACTAGCATATAATATAACAAACATAATAAAAAAATAAAAAAACATATAACACAGAATGACTGATACAATTACGAACCACTCCAACAGAAGTCGTTAAACTCATCAAATGAGAAAAAAGGATGTTGAATAAACAATTTGTTTAGCGTAATTCTAAAATCTGAGAGGGGTAGCGATCTAATCTTCGGAGGAACTATATTAAATAAAGATTGCGATTGGTATGATGCACCATTTTGGCTCTTCAACAATCGGCAAAAAGTCACCCTTAAGTTATCCTTTTGTCGAGTGTTAAATGAATGCACCTGGGATTGTAACACATTCTCCACCATATTTTTCTTACAAAAACACAAGGCCTCAAGAATATAAAGACTTGGAAGAGTTAGGATCTTTAGTTCCGAGAATGATTGACGACAATCATCCCTGTACTGTAGATTGTTAATCACGCGTACGGCCTTTCGTTGGAGGCGAAAGATGAACTTCTATGAAGCACTATGACCCCACGCTAGTATTGCATAGGCAAGAGTACTGTGAATCAATGCGTAATACGCGGAAAGCATAACTGTTTTTGACGTACTACTGCGCAGTCGTTTAAGTAAAAATATTGACTTATTCAGTTTGTATGTAATGTTATCACAGTGTTTGTTAAAGTTAAGCTTGCTGTCAATAAAACATCCAAGCAGTGATACACCCGTACAAGGGAGATGCACTTTAAAATGATCATAGGCAACACAACTGACACGCAGTATTGTACACCAATCAGAAGGTTACAAGGAGTTCGACGGAAAGTTACCGAAATAAATAAAATTAAACAAATATAGCAAACGAGCTCCTGGGTATGGCCATAGCATGTGCAAAACCAAATTTTAAACCTGATGTTAGTTTTGCTTTTATTTAAAGTGTATATGTATGAAATTTCATTTGAATGCCTCCATAAATAAGCTGCGCATGCGCAAAACCAAATTTTGAAACTGATGTTAAATTTTCTTTTATTCCAAGTGGTTATGTACCAAATTTCATTTAAATCCCCCTATAAATCAGAAAGTTGGCACTGCGCATGCGCAAAACAAAATTTTGAAACTGGCGTAAAATTTGGTTTTATTCCAAGTGCCTATGTATCAAATTTTATTTAATTGCCTCCATAAATAAGGAAGTTGGCACTGCGCATGCGCAAAACCAAATTTTGAAACTGGCGTTAAATTTACTTTTATTCCAAGTGGCTATGTATCAAATTTTATTTAAATCCCTCCATAAATAAGAAAGTTTGCAATTCGGTCTGTAAATGGTCGAGATGCGCAAAGGGCACTGTGAATGCTGATTGATTAGGTTCAACTTTTGGAATTGTGTTTTATATGGCTAAAGCTATGCGCATATTCAATTTCATGCAATTCGGTTCATAACTAACGGAGATCTCAAAAGGGCCTACTTTATTTTTTGGGCTACATTAACAATTCACGAACTCCGATCTATAAATTTGATAAATAATCCACCTGCAAAATTTCATCATAATCGGTCCATTCGTTTATGAGTTATCGTGCTAACGGACGGACGGACGGACAGACACAACAAAATTATAAACTCGCTAGGAGCTCGTTAATAACGAAGTTCTGGAGAGCTCTCAAGAATCTTGTCGTGAAACTACCTGTAATTGAGATTGCAAAACAAAACACAAACAATATTTCGGTAACCGTCGAAACACCGCAAATGTTATCGTGAAATCACCAGAGAGGGCAAACAAAATAACGTCGTATTACTCAATAAGTCAATACTACAATTGTGCAATATAATGGGCTATGCATTTAAGTTGTGAATTATTTTCATCAAGTCAATTAGTCTCATTAAAAGACACAGAGTACGTTTGATAACCACAGGCTTATTGTTTCGTGTGTATTTCATCAATAACATTGCACGAAATGTGTTTTCTTCATATTCGTAGGTGTGCAATTACGGTAAATTGCCATTTAACCGTCCTATACTGCAAATAGGTTTAAATTGTAAAACTAGCAAACTATCAAGTAGCCTCATCTAGGTGCATAGTATTGGGGGTTCACGAATTTTACATAGTATTATTGTTTGTTAGTGATGGGAGAAATGTTTACCTAAAGCACGACAAATAAGAAACAAACTGCAAATAATGTTTTACAACATACCTACTAATATTTTTCATTTAATTTCTTCATAGCAGTGCACGTAATTACATAAAAACAGGCCTATACTAACTTCCTAATTAAGAGTAGAAGAAATACATAAAAAATCACAAAAAGGTATATACTAATATACAGTCAAATCACATTTTAAATTTGCAGAATAGTATTTAGCTTGAAAATAAGCCACTTCGACAAAAATCGAATGCTACCAACTTGGCTGGACGCAGCATGTAAATTCAAAAAAGATAAGAAGTCGTGAACCGTATTTGTATAATTATAAAATTTAATATTAGTGCCAATCGCGCCAAGCCCAATACCATCAGCAATCGTTTACCCGAATTAGTTCGTTACCTACTTAATCCACCTGCAGCTTCTTGAAGCTTCCTTCGATGCCAACGCCTAATTCTTCATTCATTTCATCGATGAGTGCACAATTACGCTCATCAATTTCAATATGCAAGTCATCTAAAGCTAATATCTTTTTTCTACAATCTTGTATCTTTGATTTAAAAGCATTGATCATGTCTGCAAGCGGAACGACTCCGCCGTATTCTTTAGGCAATATGCTCGGGCTGATGCGTTCGTGCAGGTCAGTTACCGATTTGTGTATCTGCAAGTGTCCACAACTTTATACGGTCGTCCGCAGATGGCGAATGCATACTTACAAAAGTTCGGTTTTTCAGCTTTTCGGAAAGCACGGTTAGACCAAACTCCACCAGTTTGGCAGCATTTGGGGAAACATTGACGAAATGACTCTCTTTATGCCTCATTGGAGATGAATTCTGGAAGAAAAAGTTATAGGTACAATGTTTACCAAATAGGTAGATATTACTTGAACGCATCGTATAACATTCCTGATATCTTTAAGAGACCATAATGAAATGTGCCCCAATTGAAAGCCTCCAATATCGTTTACGTAGACGTATCCATTCACTTGGTTTTCTTCGTCGTCCATTAAAACTTCCGCAACTAAACTATGAATCCGAATCATGCTCGCCGCTGTGAACTTATACGGATCGAATTTTTCGGCACACGTAAAAATGACTGTCTTTCCATTGTGCTTTTGTGGTAATGGCACTATATATCCGCTATCAACTAACTGAGCCAAATCGTTGTCATCACTGTCCAAATTGCGAAACCATTGAGGATACAGCTGCCTTATCATTAAATATCGCTCTAACATTTCGCACGCTAGCGGAACGCTAAACTTCTTCGTTCTTAAGAATCTCAATAAAAACGGCGCATCTGAAAGTGGGCGATAATTAACTTGTCCCAAAAAATAATTATTACCTTTGCGACAGGTTTTAATAGCACTATTTTTGTTAATCCATTCTCTCATTTGGTCCAGGGATTGTTGCCTAATGGAGTCATCCTCGCGTAATTCTTCTAAGGCGACTTTGCGTAACGATTCCGGTAATGTGCAGACGTAATCTTCGGATGTAACGTCTTTTCCGCCTAAACCCATTATTGTGCAACTTTTTTTTAGGTAGGTACCTGAAAAAATTAATACAATAGATTATTACTATAAATTATTGTTTACGGTAGACAAGTTTCGTAAGGACTAGATTTAGGTGATATTTCTACTGCCTAAAGCTACTGTCTCAATTGTTATTGTTACAGGTGGTTAATTTGCGTAACAACCTGCCGTTTAACACAGGGGGATATTAATTCATTCATTTTTCGCTAACATGGCAATGGCCAATGATATGCGGATAAATGAGTACATAAGTGAAGGATTAAGGGAGCAACGTCGTGCATAAAAGTAGTAGAGGTACCTACTTATTGTAGAGTTATAGGTAACCCTTGTTTATATCTATTGACGCTTAAACATTTTAACCTCCTCTCCTGGTGTATAAAATTCAGTAGGTATCTATTGTATTTTAGAAGTTTTGTGGATAATAGGTATACCTACCTACCGTAAGTACCTACACCCTTCAAGTATTCGGTATCGTAACAATTGCAGTATAAATTAAAAAGAAGCTTCCTCTTTTCTTGTTTTCATGGACTTCAAGCAGAAAGCTGTCGCACCGAAGATAATCCAAAATAGTGCAAACTATACGATATAAGTCAGCGTCGGTTGCCGTTTCTTAACCTTATTGTGAAATAAGTGATTGATATCAGTGATATACCGAAAGAAGACTAGTGTTCTTGAACCACCTTATAAATGTTGCATGTGTGATGTGCCCCCCATTATTGAACACATCCAAGTGATCGTAAACCATGTCAAGCTCGATCCTCGCGTGGAGGACATTTAAGTCAGGTCTCCTGTCACGCGATGTCCCGGAATAGGCACATTAGTTAACATCTTAACATTTCAAAAAATATCTTTATAAATAAGAAAGTTGACATTGCGAAGTCTGCGCATGCGCACATTAATCGTGAAGATTTTGTATATTTTGTATGTATGCAAATCAGCACAAAACGACCATTTATGATGCGTAGCAAAGATTATGTTACTAATGAATGAGCAGTAGCCCTTAAATCAACAGGAAAACACAAATTTGTATTGTACTCGTAGTTTAGATAAGTTATCAATAATCCCATTACACGAAATTTGAATACATTTTATTAGGAAAATAAAGGAAGTAGTACATCACGGGAAATTAAAATAAAATATGCAAACTTTTTTCCAAATCATGTAGGCTATTATGGCCACTTTCTCCGTGGGTCCGACCGCCCGAGGCCTTAACTGCTCCTACAATTTTCAATATATTTAGTTCATTCTTTTGTGAGTTCAGTGGTTTATAGCTATTAATTGCTATGGCACCTGAACCAAGAAAAATCTTGACGATAAATATGCGCATGCGCATTGAAATTTTAACTTCTAGCAAACATATCTCATATTGTAATAATCAGGTGTGCGCATGCGCAGATTCCGCAATTCTAACATTCCTATTTATAGATATTTTTTCAAATTTTAACCACAAATGTTTCTTTTAAAGGCAAACATATTGCATATTTTAAAATTATATATGCGCATGTGCACACTGCGCAATGCCAACTTATAGACATTTTTTTTTAAATTTCAACCATACCTAGGTGCATCTAGTAAAGAAAAATATAGCGCACATTGCTATGGCCTTTTGCGAAGTAGTGATCAATGCGTTTCTCGAAAAGATAACGCGACTGTTATTAACGAATATGCGGACAGCGCCACGGATGAACGAGAATGTGTCACAATCGCTAAAAGAGAAACTTTTAACGCATCTGCCACAAAAACCGCAAAAAATTAAAAATTCACATTTCCTTACATTGATGAGTTCCGTGGTCGCGGATAAGGCATATTTGAGGATTCGGCTGGTTTAATAAAATGAGCGGAAACAACGCCACAAGAAGGGGTCGCTATTCTGTTGCCATTCACGAACCCTTATAAATATAAAAAATAAAAAAGATTTTCGCCATAAAGCGCATTTTCTATACATTGATCAGTACTTTCCAAAAGGCCATAGCTGTATCCTGTATGCGCTGTGTTCTTCTTTACTAGAACCATCTATGGTTAAAGTTTAAAAAAAATGTCTCCGTAAATAAGAGCGTTGGCATTGCGTAGGTAGGGCATGACCACATCTGATTCTTACAATATGGGATATGTCGGCCTTTGTTAGTAGCATCTGTGTAAAATTTAAAAAAATATCTTTGTAAATAAGAAAGTTAGTATTCAAATTAATTATCAAGACTTTTCTTGGTTCAGGTGCCAGAAGTATAAACTCCCGAATGCAAAAAGAACGAACTAAATATATTGAAAACTGTAGGAGTAGTTAAGGCCTCGGGAGGGTTGACAGACGGGCGGACAGTGAAAGTAGCTGCAATAGCGCATCCAACTTCATTGGAAAATGCGTGTTGATTTTCAGGATCACTGCCCGTCCGCCCTTATCGGTGCCATCATAGACTTTAGGCATACTGTAGGTAGGTATTCGCGTACTGATCTTCGTAAAATATAAAAACGTGGAACTTTTATTAATATATATATTATTTATAATTTTGCGGTGTCTGTCCGTCTGTCCGTCCGTTACCACGATATCTCGATAACGAATGGACCGATTACAATAACATTTAGTAGATGGATTCTTTATCAAATTTGTAGATCGGAATTCGTGAATTGGCAATGTAGCCCAAAAAATAAGGAAGGCCCTTATGGCATCTCCGTGAGTTATGAACCGAATTGCATGAAATTTAATATGCGTATAGCTTTAGCCATATAAAACGCAATTCCAAAAATTGAGCCTAATCGATCAACATTCACAGTGCCCTTTTCGCATCTCGACCATTTACAAACCGAATTGCAAACTTTTTGATTTATGAAGGTATTTGAATGAAATTTGATACATAGCCACTTGGAATAAAATCAAATTTAACGCCAGTTTCAAAATTTGGATTTGCGCATGCGCAGTGCAAACTTTCTTATTTATGGAGGCATTCAAAGCAAAAAAGCCGTTTTTCAAATTTTTTTTCTTATTTATGGAAGCAATTAAATGAAATTTCATACATATACGCTTTAAATAAAAGCAAAACTAACATCAGGTTTAAAATTTGTTTTTGCACATACTATACCCACACCCAGGAGCTCGTTTGCCATATTTGTTTAATTTATTGGTTATTTGACACGACTCGCTAAAGTATGAAGAATAAATCAAAGGCGTGTAGGAAATTAAGAGCCGTTTCCAACGATGTGTCAATCGACCCAACGTTCAATTTAAGATTATTAAAGGGGTGGCAACCCAGCTTAGGGGGTTAAGGCCAGGGGTGTAAATTTGTAAATAAAATCGACGTGTTTTTGGTTTTTTCCCAAAAACTAATTTCTCACGAGTTATTCTGTCCGTTTCGTTGTGCCACCCTGTATACGGATGTACTTAAAGCGAGAGATTGGATAAATTCAATTGATCCCTACGGTTGCAATATTTTTAAAATTAACATTTCTCATTGCTCCGTGACAGAGATAAATTGCCTGTAGTACTGTGCTCAATAATTGTTGTTCACAATAAGAAATTGCGAATATAATTGGCAAAAAATTCTTTTTGGGAACACGCTACTTTATAATATGAATATATATAATTGATTACCTTACTTAATTAAGTTCAATTTCATTTATTATAATTAATCATTGAACCCAAATAAGGACGATTGTTTCGAATAACATCAGGTGAGCGATTAATAAGGGCGTACGACATGCTTTCATAATTTCTAATAATTATTTTATGTAAAATGAGTCATTAATTGTTTGTAAACCGAAGTTATAAATCCGTTTACGTGACGGCGTGCTCATGTATAAATTTATAATTGAAATACCTAAGTGATTCCAGTAGGTACAAAGAATTAAGTTCATATGTCTTCGTTTATTTAAATTTGTTTAACAAAAATCACTTTTCCACACTTTTCAGTTTTAAATAAAAAATAATATCTATTCAGTTTTGAATTGAAAATGCGCTATCGAGGACACTCTCTTTGGTTCTTCCTATAGGTACTTTAAGTTCTACCATTATACTGGGCTGTTTTGAATTATGCTGTTTTTTAATCACATATGCCTTGGTAACTTGTGTCACAATTTATAAAACAATTGCAACATTATTAATTTCATTATCTGTCAGTTTGTGGCGACGCGCTGTGTATATGTATCGAATAAATAATCGACTACCGTGTTGTTCCACGGCTTCCTGTAATTATAGGAAGCCTGTAATTATAGGAAGCCGTGGTTGTTCCTTACAAAACCAGGAAAACCTTAAAAAATAATTCTTGAAAAAATGTTGGCTGTATACAGGGATGATTGCCTTTTTAAGTCAACTATTTGCAAGTGATCAAAATTGTGGTCGAGAATCACTGGATGATGATTCCTGTGATCACTTCAGATATGTTGTTGTTGAAAAAACCTAGTGTGTGGTAGTGGAGAATGAAAGACTAAAGGAGGGATAATTAGCAGCTTGACTATGAGTTTCTGAAACCACGGTTTTCAGAATTTTACACGAGTACCTTGGGATTACAAAGGTTAGTGCAAAATGGGTTTCGCGAATGCTTTCGCCTTTCCAAATGTATGTCCGCGTAGAGACCTGTGAATGATTCTTGGCGCGCTGTGGAATGTACCAGATTTAATTATCAATCGACTTGTCACTGGAGATGAAACCTATGCTCGTCATTATGATTCTGAATCGAAGTCGATGCAGTAGCATATTAAGGGCCCCAGCCCTCCCAAGAAGTTTAAAGTCACCTCTTCTGCAGGAAAAATAATGGCACCCATTTGTCGGACTTTTGCTGGTTATAAATATAAGGGTAGTACGGTAACGGGAGAGCATTATGCAAACCTGATGCATCTTAGAGATGCGCTATTAAAGAGAAGAAACGCGGAAAACTGACACAAGGTGTATTGTTTCTTCACGGCAATACACCAGTGCACAAGTCCAGGCTTTCAAAAGATGCCGGTTAGCTGATTAAAACTGGATTCACATGAATACGAAATCCGACGATACGGTCATCCGAAATGCTTATGATTGGTCAATAGTTTGAAATGTCAAGCACATTTCAAATTATTGACCAATCATAAGCATTTCGGATGACCGTATCGTCGGATTTCGTATTCATGTGAATCCAGCTTATGGCTTCGAAGAAATCGAACATCCACCTTCTAGTCCATTAGATCTAGCACCCCAGTAACTATTTTTTGTTCCCGAATATCAAAAAAAAAACACTAACGGCTGGTTGCAGAAAAGCGAATTTCAAAATCCTACATTATTTGCCAAATCTGAGTTTAAATAAGAATTTTGACATTTGATTGGCTGCATACTGCAGTATAAAGCCAATCAAATGTCTTAATACCGGGTTAAACAATAATCCTGGATTTTTTTTGTGCAACTGGCCGTGAGGGGGCCAAAATTTAGGGACAATGACTAACTTATATCAGCTGTTGAGGGTCATTGTGCGGAAAAATCAAATGAATATTTTTATACTGGATTAAAGATGTTGTTAAAACCTCCAGCTTCGTTACTAAATTGATTAATCTACGGTTTTTAGGGACAAATTAGACAATCTTCAAATCGGGAGGCATTAAATATAAACTGGCTTCCTACTACTAAACACAAAACTTCTTCACAGTTAAAATAAATACGAACAACAATCTGATTAGGTAATTGATCCCGATAAAAATCAGCAATTCAAATTAACCGTTTAGGAATCTTTCTTCCTAATCGGAAAGATTATACCTACCTATAACCCATTTTGAAATGTTTTGATTAAATTCAATATTGAATGCAATTATAATAGCACACAAATATATAAAACTAATGAAACAAACTTACGTTCTAAAATGTTAAACTATAACAACAAATGATAATAAAATTCTTACCTTTGAAACGGAAGATGCTTAAGCAGCTACAGTCTTCAGACTGTTGGTTGGTTCCGATGCACTGTAAAAGTTGCTTTCTCTTAACCTACTTTTATATAAATATTCTTAGAAATTAGTATCAAATTGGATATGCTCTCTGGTAAAATAAAACTATTATAAAGAAATAATCACGTTTTGGCGTTATAGAAAGCGATAAACAATTAAGAAATAAATTAATACCTACATTATTACCCCGGGACGAAACCTCAATTATTAACAAACCTTCTTCCTGTAGTATGAACCGTGACTTTTCCTTTTATTAATAAAAAATGAAAGTTTTTGAACGAGTCAAAATAAATTCTTAAGCAACAGGTTTCACTTTCTCTTACACAATGTAATGGCTATATATTTTTTTTATTCAAATTTCAACGTCATCTGGAACGTTTGACAAGTTCAAGGTAAGGTCTCTACATAAGATTAATTAAATGAAATCGCGAGTGGTGCAGCAATAACGGAAATGAATAATTTCTACTTCCGCTGTGATTCGGCGTTTATTTACCGAAATTCGCATAATTTTTTTAATTTGGGAACAATTTTTGAATGCTGGTTTGCGTAATTGTATACCAGTATACCTACAACGTTCAACTGTAGCATTGTATATTTATTATACAAGGACCGTAGGTACCTACGTCTCTAGAAAATTGAACCACCAAACGAAAAGGCAGTTAAGTAAAAAAGTTTGAAGTGGTAATTTTGGGGACATATCAATTACTCGAGAACATCAAACGGATATAAAATTCGTAACGAATGTACACGCATTTCTTTTCTCGTTACTTCCGTTTCAAAATGGATGGGGTGCAGTTCGAAAGAATGGCGTGTAGGTAGGTAGGTATGTAGCGTAAGCGGTGGTACCGACCGCAATTTAATCAAATTCGAGCTCCAGTATGACAAGTAATTTTGAAAAATTCGATCCTAATAGAAAACCATTCAACATCTATCAAGAGGGATTCGAACCAGAACTCAAGAATCTTCGAAAATAAGATAAGGTAATGTGTGCAACGTTTTTATTAAGACCTCAACGGAACCACGTGATAACAGAACTTAGCGCTACGACGAAGTCATTCAATACTTACCTTTCAAAACAACTTTGCCCGAAATCAAATCTTTTGCTTAAACAACAGATTCAGCAAGGAAAGTCTATCTCGACCTGGGAAATGCGTAAAACCACCTGCGGAATTTTCGTGCACATGCACTAAATTGTTTGGTAGCAGCGTGGCACTATATTATCGGGGCCCCAATTGAAATTCAAAATTTTCAAGAAGTTGTGACAGCTTACTTACATTTACAAGGGCCGAAGACCTCCCTTGCGTAAAATAAAATTCAAACTATACGGCACTGGCAAAATACGACACTTAATTTCTACTTGCCCACGCCCACGGCTGGCCCAATAAAAATGTTTTTATATACCTTACCTTAAGGAAATGTAGCCTTTCTCTCCCCTTAAAACTTAAAATTCAAAATCTAATATGCACTGGTTTGATTGAATTCTTATAAATGCGCATATGGCTTTAGTTGATTGAACTATATTAAAACAAAATCCTTACACGGAAAGCAAAACAAATGCATCTAAACTGCTCTTTTTTGAACATAATAAATTCCTGGTACATTCTCCTGTTTAAAATGTATGCATTTCTGAATCCTAAACAAAATTTCATTCCAACGAAATTAAATTAAATGCATTTTTCCAATCACTGAAACAAAATAATCAGAAAGTTTTGATTCGATTCTTATCAATAAATACAATACAAAATATGTTTCATGCAAAGAATTTTCACGGGTCGATTCCTTTGGGAATATTAAAAATACTTCAAACATAATACCTTATACAAATTCCTAGAAATAACGGACTATTACTTTATCCAAATCAAAAAATTTCAAATAATTTACTGTTATTATCTCTCCTTGGAAAATACTGATTCTTTTAAAAATATGGAAACTGATTTCTCCAATGGTACAGTAGTAGTTGACCTTTTCACCACCCTGGTAACGCTCTTCATGATGAATGCGAAGTTTAGAAAAAGAAATATTCTTAAGCCCGCTTGACATGGAGCAATAAAAATTGCAATTGCATGCAAGTTGCAAGAAAAATTGCGAAAGGCATGCGCAGTTCAAAGCCAGCTGATCAATTGCTGCAAGAGACTTGCATGCAATTTTTATAGGACCGGTGCTATTTTTCTTGCATGAATCGTGCAATTCTAGGGATAAATCTAGTTGTTTTTGTGTCACCAACCTAGTAAAATACAGCGGCGGCAACTATGATGCTGAGAGACGCACTCATTACTTGTTTTTATTAATCTTATTTATTCTTTTAATTTTCACGTTTCTTCAAGCAATCAAAATTTAATTTTCATTTGAGGTTAACTACTTTGTTGACAACTCCATATGTTTCTTCTGTTGGCAGACATGTGGCAATTGAAATAGAATTGCACCATGTCAAATACCCAGAGACATGGAGAGAGGAGATAACGCATGAACCTGCGCGAAGTTACAAAACAAGGGGGCTGCCATTTTGACACCCATTGAAGCGCGAAATTTGAACAGGACTATAAAGGTTTACTGACGCAACCCAGAGACATCTAACGCAATCTTCATACACTACACTCTATTCGGCAGCAGCTCCGTAGGAAGAAACTAATATCTCAATCCAAATGAACAAAAGAAAATGCCAGTGACGACGTTACAAAATAAACACTTAAACCTCGAAAAAAGCTCTCCTAAACACGAACACACGCTAAAATAACACCACTATAAACACAACATGACACCAAGGGTGTAAAAATGGCAGCGCCCATTGGATGCGCACTCGTCGATCACCGATCTCCTCTCTCCATGTCTCTGCAAATACCATGCAATGCTTATTGCATCATGCATGCAAGGATTTGACCTTGCAATTTCTTTCTGCAAGTTCTTGCGCGTTGTATTGCTCCATGTCAAGCGGCCTATGAATGTAATACCCGCGAGATCGTGATTATGTATAGGAGTATTCCACCGTGTTGATTTTAATTTTGCCCTATTTATTAACTAGATCGTGGGGCGAGCAAATGTATCAATTAATTGTCTTTATCTTTTCTACCGTATACCGTATTATACAAAATGTATATTTATCGCACAATGCGTTATCCAAATACTTCACTCAACTTTAAGCAACTTGCTTCTGTTACTCATGCGAAAAACGGTCATTTGTTTATCACAATCAGTTTTAATGTGAGTTTATTTAATCCCGTTTCTATATGAAGAGCACTTCTGCGGCTCGAAAATGTTCCTTTGCGTACCGTATACCGTCTACTATGCGATCAAAAAAGAGTTGCTGTCGAGTCACCTTTGGAATTTTTGTTTAAAAGAGAAATCGTACTGAACGCATGAACTTCCGAAGGCGACTCCACAGCAACTCATTTTTGATCGCCAGATGTGTTTGCTGTGCTTTTGTATCATTTGAATTTATGAGTTATTGCAAAACAATCATATTTTGAGCCATTAAATCACATGCGTCCCTCCACAGTCACATTTTTGACCGATTTGAACCGACCAAGCGCCATATGCCACAGAACAGTTTTTACAACTATGACAACCGGCATTTTTAGAGAAATAATGTATATCTTGTTTCCCATCTGCATCGTTCGGAAGCAATGCGATAGAGGGCCGATAATTTTCTAACCTATTATAATATTTTTTCACAAAGGCGGCGTATCCTAGCTCTGTCTCTGTTTTGTGTTTTCATTTTTTAGCGATGCTGTGCTGCCTGATTCTTCATTTTGTTTGTCAGAAGGTAACAAGAGCACGAGAGCCGTGGGGTTCTAAATAGTCGCGTAATTACAAAAAAATCAATGGTGCGGGGCGAGAGTCCGCAAGCGACCACTATAGGGTAATGTTGTTGTCCTGTATAAAATTGTTTAATTCGTTTTACCACATAAAAAAATGAACAACTTTTTCCAAAATACCAATTTCATGTAAATTACAAGGACAAAGAAGTTCTAAATAGACTTAAAAATCATTTTTTTCGTAAGCAGCAATGTTAGAAATAACGGTCCGATCAAAACCGAGTGGCGGTCAAGTCGCCTTTTTGGACTTCCTTTGGAAGTGCAAGTTAAGTTCGATTTCCCATGTAAGTAATAAAAAATTCCAAAGGTGACTCGACATCAACTTTATTTATTCATTAGTATTTACTATGGTACTTAAAAAATGAAAGTAACGCGATGAAAAAGATAAAAGATGCCCAAGGGAGGTATTTAACGTAGTCTGAAAAATCCGCCTTGCTTCATATTCTCGTATACGTCACCCAATTAAATATGATTATACCATAGGGTCTCAATTATTATACCGTTCTACGTCTACTAGAGACCTAGGTGTCTACTTTGATGCCAGTTTCTCCTTTTCTAATCACATAAAAATAGTACATTCTTCGGCGATGAAATCACTTGGCTTCATTATGCGTAACTGCAAATCATTTACCAACGTCAATGCTCTAACTTCTTTGTACTTTGCATACGTTCGCTCTAAAATGGAATACTGCGCATTAATTTGGAATCCTTACACTAAAAGTGACATATCTAGGCTAGAAGGCGTCCAGCGTAAGTTTTTAAAATTTTTGTTTTATAAAGTTGAAGGTATATATCCGGAGAGGGGATACCCTTATTCGTTACTGTTAGCCAAATTTGACTTCTGCTCGTTAGAGAAAAGGAGGGTTAGGAATAGTGTGACTTTTCTGTACTTCTGTGACTTCTCTGCGCTACCCGTCACTCTAATTCAGTGAGATCCGCACTACACCCGTATCGAACGTAAGAAGCGTCGGTGGTCTCGAGGCGGCGCAGACAGGTTTCGCCTTCTAAAAAGTCGCGCGGTTGCCAGCTTTCAAAACCTCAATATTTACAAATTCTTTTTCGACATGCGCTAAATTTTGGGTTTGTTAAGCATCTAGATCCCTAACTTACGTTTTGATTCCTGCCTTAAGCACTCTCAACCTAACCCATGTTGAGATGCGTCTGTCTGCTTGTTTGTTAGTATCAACATTTACGAACCTTGGTCACTTTCTATGCATGACTATGGGCGAGTGCCAGAATTAACCGGTAGATGTAGGGTAACTACCGGTAGAAATGTCGATCGTTCCGGAATTAATCGGTGAGGCACCACCGCGCGTTCCAATTTTAACATTGGTGTATCACCGGTAATCTACCTTGCGCACCCAAGGTGTTTTATTATAATTACGCACCGAATCTATTTGGCGGTTATTAACATATATATAAGTATATATATGGTTATTAAGCTACCAGTTTGCGTTAACCTTACTTTTTTGAGTTTTGGCCACAGAGTTGTATATAAGTAAATAGAGAGGCAGTACATACGACCTGCGCGTGGAAAAATAACTCCAACTACAGTGGCCGACTTTTAATGGCGGAGCCGTTGGGACTCATGCGCAGTGCGTGAAAGGGAATCAGCACGATTTTTGGGTGCATTCAGTTACATAATCACAAAACAAAACAGCAATAACTTTTCAGATGCTTCAGATTCATTTGTAAATAAACAGACGCTTTGGAGTAATAATTTAAGCATGCCCATTACATTATACTCTTTACCGCCATTTCAATGTTTAGTAGGCGACGATCTGTACATAAATAAAGGTTATTTTAAAATGCTCCTAGAAAAGTGCAAGAAAAGATCAAATATATGGGTGGAAGGAAAACTCTTCGCAAGCAATTGTTGAAACTTGGTTTTCGATACAAGAAGTGTCGGGACAAACGTAGGTTGGTAATGGAAAGAAGTGACATTGTAGTATGGCATCTCGTTATTTAAGAAGATTAAAAGAAAATGAACAACCTGAATGTGACAAGAAACCCGTTATATACTTGGACGAAACCTATATTCACCCATCGTACGGAGTGAGTAAATGCTAACAATCAGATGAAGTATCGGAAGTTTATAATAGGGCTGGTCAGAGGTACATCGTAGTATGCTGGTAGTCGTTCTGGTTTTGTAGAGGATGTCGCACAGTAAATCGGGGGATTATTACGATGATATGAATCATACCAACTTTATGCAGTGGTTAGAGAAGCAGCTTATACCAAATTTACCAGCAAACTCACGCACCTCGTCAGTGTTCAAATAAATAAGCCACCAACAATGAATAATCGTAAGGAAGTGATACGTTCTTGGTTAGAAGCAAATAACATTCCTACGAGAAATGAATTTATTGACAATCTACAATTTATTGTGAACACCGGCAGTTCCGATGATGATTAGTGGTCAAGTGACGATAATGAATGAAAAAAGTTAAAGGTTGTGTGTTAATTTAGTCGCGAGTGTTATAATATTAATTTCAATGTGATTGTTTCAATAACTGTCCATATTTATTTACACAGCAGAAGTGCATCAGAATTGTAAATTGTGTTGAACATGAACATCTAACAATCTTAAATGTGTTTACGTTTTGTAGAAATAAAATTATTAATTTTACTGTTTCCCCTTGAAGTAATGCAACTCATATCGCGTGGCCCACTTATTTATATTTAGTAGAGTCAAATTTTGCATGAGAATGTACAGTCTAAATTTCCAACGTCCTCGGACACGCCCTGTCAGGGACCTTCTGAGTGTGGTGCCACTGTACATACCCTCTGCCGATGCTCCATTTTTGAGATATTTGAGTTATTGGCATTTGCAGTTTGTCGACTTTGTGGCTACCCGTATTCAAACTGTGTTTTCGGCATTGCACACCTGAAATTTTGTCCCGCACCAAAATAAAATTTCAACTTATTTTATTCTTTCATTGCTTATTTTTATACTCACTGAGTGCATAAATAGATCTTTAAACTCGATCGCACGACAAATATACGATTTCCTTTATACCAGAATCTCAAAAAATCTTTTCTCGATTCTGATGTTGTAAGCCCCTTACCAGCTTTGTATTGTAGTCTACTGTATTAAAAGTTCTTAACGATTGTAATGTTTCTTATTTATTCAAGACACAGTGTTAACAACATCATTCACCACACATTGAATTTCTTTTCAATTTTTGTTGCAATGAGAAACCATATTATTCTCAAGCCGAACCTGCTTTAAGGATCATTTAATTTGAAGCCGGTTCTGTTGTCGATTACTGCGCACACTCACCAACGGCCTGCGCAAGGTTCAATTGGAGTCAATTTTTCGCTACAAGACTGTCTCTCTATTTACTTATATCATTGAATAAAAACACTATTTTATTCAATGCTTATATACAACTCTGTAGTTATGGCGCTTGATTGTAGGAATGGAATTGTTACTGTATAACGTTATAAAAAATAGATGGGTTTTTAAAGATAAGCTAAATGAAAGTGATGATGACCATGATGTACTGTTATTTCAAACCTAGTATTTAAATACTCGCATTCTAAGTTCATCACTATAATGCAGTAAAAAGCCCACGTCCGGTCGGTCGTTCGAATATATATAGTTCGATAAAAAGTGTGGTTATAATACTTTATTTATAACTTAAATTAAGTCACGCCGTTCCAGATTACACTACAACCAACTTTAACCACGATATACCATAACATTACCGATGACGTCACGGTATAATGTATCGGTATTTTGTTCGGTTAGTTCTGCTTCTGGATCTCGCCCATAGTAACCAGCATTAACATACAATAGGCGCTTTCTTTCGGCTACTTCGCAATCATGATTTCTAGATCGTGATTAGTAGGATCACGTTTTACGAAAGAACGCGCGAATTTAAATCAAAGTATGGTTAAGTTTACGTAGCGCACATTTGCATTCGAATTATGTATTTTTTGTTTGGATTATGAAAATAATTTAAATACAAGTGGAAGTACCTGCACGATTATGCTCCGCTTCAGTTACAAATATTAACTAATCTAACATTTGAGCAAAAATATCCTTGCATTTATAGGGTAGGAATTCTTGTCCAAAAAATTTTATGTTCAGTTTGTTCACGATTTTAGCAATCATGATTATAAGATCACACTTCGAAAGAACGTGAATTGACAATCCAAACGCGTTTGGATCACCGAAAGAAAGCGCCTAATATTGTCTTTTAACAAACGTCGCAATGAACTATATACACATTTGACAAATTCATTACAAAAGTCCTTAAGAATATTAGTATAATATTATTATTAATAATATTAATAATATTAATCAGGAACTTTTTGTATCCTATTTAACCCCATTTGGCAATCGCAATTACAGTCGGTCTGGGACACCCTGTATATGCCCTACGGTATCGGAATGACTGCGTCGTGGCGTAAACTTATACACATCTACAATATGTTTACTTTCACAAAAATGAAAATACTGAAAACTTTTGGAAAATAAAGATCTGTTTTGTGTTACGTATTCATAGTTCATAGTATTGGCTTGTGGGCATTTATTTTCACTATTATTATGCCTTGTGTGTGACAGAATCGTATTTATAAAAGTGTGTGTATTGTATTCAAAATTTAATAGAGTTTAATATTATGCAGTCCATGGCAGACAAAAGATTGAAGTTGAATAATGGAAAAGAAGAAGGTAAAATGCAGAATTATTTATCGTAACTGTATGTATAATATGTACATTTACCTAGGTGAACCAAGCGAATCACTGTCAAGAAAATTAACTAGCAGCCCAACTTTCCCATATTCTTTGCCGGATGATGTAGACGTTGTATGGAATTGGTATTCTCCAACGTCTCAACCTCAATATTTCAAACCAAAAGTGAAAGTTCAACAATCTCCTAAAATATTAGTGAAACGGCATCCGTCTCGCGAACAAATAACTGCGTTTAATAAACTGGTAGAAGAATTAAAGACCTTCACAAATCCTAACACAGTTCAAGAAGAATTAGATAGGGACTATGCCGATGTTTTTGATGACTCTCTCGATGAGGAATTACTTATAATTAGTCAAAAAGTAGAACAGAGTGTTTCACAAAAAGTTCCAGCACATTCTGATATTTCAAACGATTCGCTTGGAAATGATTCCTTCGATTGTGCACTTGCGTCAATCAAAGATGAAGACTTAAATTTACAAAAGGAACAAAAGACTAGCAAGACTCAATTGACAACTTCCCTTAAAGGTGGGTACTGCAACCTATCGACCAATAATAACAATTACATTTTAGAGGACCAGCCCATAAAATGTTCTGCTGAAGAAATAGAACAGAAAAGGTTACAGGCTTTAGCAAGGCTAGAAGCAAAGAAAATGCAAAATAATATCGAACGAAATAGACAAGAAGCACTTAAAAGGTTAGCATTAACTAGGAAACGGAAGTTATTACAATAGTGATTATTATGTTGAAAATAAATTATTTATATTTAACTTTTATTAATCACACACTGAGTATTAATATTTTTATATACAATTTTTGCAATGAAATTTGTAGCGATTTCTAATAAAATTTCCAGATATGTTTAAAAAGGAGTGAGTACCATACCTACTATTTTAGATACAAGTGATGTAAACTCATTGAGGTAGAAAACTAATGGAGGGAATATAATGGTAGAGGGGGTAAGAATTTTTGTAGACGGAAGTTGCCACAGATAGAGGCCACTCGCGTGGATAGGTTCCCGTGAAGGTACATTTTGGCCGACATTATTTGACACATGAAAACGCGGGTCCTGTCACTGTCAGTTTTCCACCAAATTCAAATTTTATTAAATTTGCTATTTTAAAGTACCTAATAATTTCGGATCGGTTTGTGCTCTGGTTTATATAAATAACTAACTGCCGCATAGTGTTTTTATCACACGCAATTTTGTGAATTGAGAAAGATTAGCTGCGTATCATGCAAAATTTCTCATAAAGGGAAGAAACAGGGCATTTCCTTTCATCGGTAAGACATGTCATTTATCATGTTGTAGGTACCTAGTTTATGTTTCTTAGTTTTCCAAACGAACCAGTACTTCGAGCAAAATGGATACCTAACATTTGTAAATATATCGAGAACTGCTCTCAAAATTTACTTTTGTGCTCACAACGCTTCATTGCTGTGATTTCGACCAAAGGTTGCACCGGAAAATGTTCATCAAGTATCTCGTCAAATATGCAGTAGGTACTATCAAAACTTGTAATGAAGCTGAGACCAACCAGAAATTGTAGCTATTGATCAACAAAATTTAATGGGAGTTGTCAAGTTGTAGTGGCTATAGTAAACTGGCCTTAATTATACTACTGGAACACATCGATGTATATGGTTAAAACATGAATCAGTGTTACAATGAAACAAAACGACTGGTGAATTTTGTAAGGTGGTAGTTTATGTTGCCAATTAAACTGCCGAAGTGTCATTAGCTGTTATTGTCAAAGGTTTATTTCTGTTCGCAGTGCTGAATATTTCTACTTTACAATAATTTTGGGCTGTTTTATATTTTTCCTGTGTGTGTTTATTTTCAAACACAGCGCCATCTACTACCTTCTTATAATGAATACAGTATAATGTTGATTTTTCCCGTACTCAATATATTTAACGCGTTTTCCAACAAAGTTGGGTGTCTATTGCAGTCATTTTCTCTGCCCATCCGACGCCTTAATTACTACAGTTCTCAGTATACTTGTTCCTTATTTTTGTATATGGTAGCTTCTATGCTCTGGCACCCTGAGGCAAGGAAAATCTTAATATTAATATGGGCTTCAATGTCAACTTTCTTACTTATTTGCGATTCAGAATAATATATCTGGATTCAGATTAACAGTGAGACCTCTGGTGGCAGCACATTGTAATTAATATTGGTGGGATAAACCTTACCTCGCCTAACGTTTCCAGTCAGTGCAACACAATAAAAAATAGGAGATATGGAGATATATACCAAAGATAATACTACACTTATCTTTGTATATACCATATGTCATTTATTGACACTTCGCTTTGAATAACTTTCTAGCACTGCTATCAGTGTCATTACGCTATAATTAATACGTTCGCTGAAAGCGCCACGACTCACGAGCTCGTTTGCTACATATTTGTTTCATTCTTTTCTAGAATTTTTAGTGCGTTTGTTGATTATGTAAATTTATACTCTCTAAAGATGTTAAGCAATGAATGAATGAGATTCTATATACTGCACTGTTTCTAATTATGCCACTTGCGGATGTTCCAACAGATTTTATCAGTTATGAAAAAAATAAAGAAAGAAATGTAAATGTCGTGACTTGCGTAAAAGCATTTCTATGTTTGTATCGTAAAAATCAATTTTTCATATTTAATTTCTTATGATTGCATATTCCGCACTTGAAATAAGAATGAAATTTCAGTAGTAGCAATTTAAGTCGAAAGTGATTATTGATATTATATTACTAGTAATTGGACTCGTTAGTACGCGCTACTCTATACATTCTAAGACTACTGGGTTCCTTGATAAAAATTCACCCTGTATATGACTGTTTTTAAAAGATATAGGTTATGTAACTTTTGATTTTTGGTTTTGTTTATGAAAATTCGAAGTACCTACGCTTTGGGGGTCTTCTACCGTGTGATTTGTCACCAGTGACCACAAAGAATAGGTAATTAATTGTTAATGTATTAATTATCTAAATTTCTTTACAATATTTTATTTGCAGATATGATCCAAATCGAACTTGCATACCTTCAATTATTCCTTATCCCATGACACTTAGTAATTGTGAACGTGTGGTGTGCTGTCTGATTTGGATCGGAGGTGTCCTCTATTCCATTTACAATGTCTTTCTTATTAGGAAAGGTTGACACTAACCATCATACAGAAATAGGAAGTTACTACCTATCGTACTTTTTAGAATTTACCTATTTGGAAGATACATATAACGATTTTGCAGAGGGATGGCTTCCACAAATGCCAAAAAAAGATGTGGCAGATTTTGAATGGGAGACCGTCATGAAAGTTTTTAGAACAACGGCTCACTATTTCATCATTCATGTAGTGGTTTCAGAGTATTTACGTTCTTATTATATACAGGTGCGTAAATTGTATTGAAGGGTGTCTTGCTATAGCGCCTTCAACTCTCCAAATGCACTACAGTGCTTATGATAAAACCACACATGCACATGCAGAACCCAAATTTAATAATGAATCCTATGATTTAATTGTTTTCACTTCGGGTTAGGCAGGAAATAATCCCAAATTTAAAAAAATATGTTATTAAATAAATAATTAAAAATAAAGACATTGTTAAATTGTTTAGAACAGTGGTTCACAAAGTTGACTGGGCTCCAACTCATAAAAAAAATTTCCAATATGCCTTTTTTCCGTAACTTAAGTATTTAATTTTTTGGGAATTATAAATAGCCGAATGAAATATCAAATTTATCACTTTCTATTTTTTTATTTGTCTTATATAGTGGCGAATTGCATATTAGGGCCCATTCAATATTCACGACCGATAGTTTGGGAAGTACTGCACGTTTAGAACATGGTAGATACATTGTAGTAATCATTAATAAACGCATCTTAGTAAAGGGGGTGTAAGTACCTACATTATAACAACTTTAAAACTAAAAAAATTCAAAGTTTAAATGAACAGTGTTATAGGTACCTACAATGACCTGAGGATTCTATTGTATTTTTTTTAGTTATTGGTTATTAATTCTTTGTTATTGTCATCTCAGGTTCTAATGGTGTACACTATTGCTTAGGTAATTGTCATTGTACTTTTGTTGTTAAAAATTAAAAAAAGAGCATTCTAAATATTACTTTATGTAGGATTACAAAATATCATTTAGTAACGCTTTATTAAATCTGATTGATCAATTTTCAGCTTGTGCCTTACTGGCAGTCTTTAATTTCCATAATCTTCCTACTGCAGACAGTCGGATTGTTTGGGTTGCTATCTATTCTACTGCAATCAGTTACATTTAACTACATATCACTAGGAAAACGCAAATTGGTGCCTTGGATGACAACGGGACTATGGATGACAGTTGTAATATATTTAAAGTCTGCCCATTGTGCAGAATACCTCGCTAAGTATTTCCATTTCACAGAAGTGCAGGGTTACATTGTAATGCTCTCATTGTGTTGGAGTAATTTACGTTGCTTAAGTTATTGCCTCGATGACGTTCAGGAAAAGTACAAATTTGTGCACTTCTTGTCGTATTGTTTGTATTTACCTACATTATTTATTGGGCCGTTTATACAGTTCAAAGATTTCAATGAGAATTTTTTCGGTCACCAATCGACCTGCTTAAGAGAACGATTTTGGCAACTAGTCGTGGACCTTTCGAGATGTATATTTTGGATATTTATCACTGAGATGTCTTTGCATTACTTTTATATTAACGCTCTGGCATATCAACCTGAGGTATAGCCTTACCAAATGTGTATGTTGTGATTGTGGATTTTTAGATATTGCAACGCATGAGCAATTGGGCTTTGTATGGATACGGGTATTGTATGGGACAATTTTTTCATTTGAAGTATGTTGTTTTTTATGGACTAAGCACTTCCATCGCTAAATTTGATCACATGAAAACGCCACCACTTCCTAAATGTATTGGCAGAATACATTTATACTCGGACATGTGGAAGTATTTCGATGCTGGACTGTATAAATTTTTAGTTACGTAGGTGCTTTGAAAAATTAGTAAAAATCTGCAAGGTTAGCAGACAGTATCAATCTAATATTTAACCGTAATGTTTTTTTAGTTATATTTACTTACCAACACTTCGTACATCACAACTTTACAATAAAATATTCTCCAGCTTATTAAGCTTTGGTTTTGTGTATATTTGGCATGGAATTGAATATAATATTTTAATTTGGACGGTTATTAATTATATCGGCATTTGTCTAGAAAATATATGTAATGAATTGGTGAAATTAGCACCCGAGGTACTAAATAGTAGCTGGAGGCGTCGTGGATTGTGCATACTCTGCAGTCCACTGTTGGCAGCATCGGCAGTTTCAAATTTCTACTTCTTTGCTGGGAGTGATGTGGGAAACATCTTCACACATAGAATATTTCAAAGTAAGTAAATTTTATGTTTCAAAAAATAGATAAGACAATATCTTTAACTCCTATATTTTAGGTTCCTTGATGGGCAATGCTGCACTAATTTTTTTCTTGTATGGGTGCTGTCAATTGTCACTAGAAGTTAAACATTGTGAACAAAATGTGTACGCAAAAAAGAAAATTAGTTAAATAATGCGAATATTTTAAAATTAATTAATTTATTTAATTTATTCATATACTCATTTTTGTGTGTAGGTGCATTTAGAAATGTTAGACAAGTTGTTAATTTCAAAATATATTTTTTTATAGATTAATACACCCCACTAATATATGACCAATCAGCTTGGTGATTGTTTCAAATTCTAACAAATCAGATGATTTTTTTAAGTGATTAAAAGCTACGTAGCTTTTTATCAGCGATAAAAATGCGTGGAGGAATGCGTAAAATATGTAGTGGATGGGGAATGTACTGTATTTTATTAATCTCTCTAAAATACACTCGATCTTGCTTTTAAATTAGGATAATTTTATTATTATATATATTATTATATTCACTCAAATTTTATTGCCTCCTGGAAAAAACTCTCGATCAAAAGCATAAGATAAAATCGCTCCTGTCGCAATTTTATCACACTTTTTATATCTAGTGTTTTCAGTTACAACAAACAAAACTTTCCCGTTTAAAAATCAAGCTCTTTTATAGTTACTCAAATGTGATTTATGGTTAACCCCTTTGCTACGGAGATTTGAAAATTGTGCGGAAGTCAGTTCGTCACGTGACTGCTCGTTATTTGCGTGTTGCCAACTGTAAGTATAGGGTAAGTCAAAATGAGAGTGCCGGATCTGAGGCCCTAGATCATTACCATTGTATATTTATGTCATTACGTTTTTCATGGTTTTTAAAAATAGGAATATGATAAATGACCTTGATTAATTTTGCTTAAGACGCATATTACTTAAGATAGGGGTTGAATGGTGTAAAAAAAATAGATGCAGTTATTAGAAGTTGACGTTTTCATTTGGAAATTGGGATCGCGCACGCTTGTACTTATTATAGTTATAAATTCAACAGGGGTTATTTATTCTGAGGTCAGGCCTGCCTAGTTTTTACACCAACAGTAGTAAGAATGTTGACTGAAAGACTCCTTTTAATAGTTTAATTGTGTAGATTATGTACCTATTTGTAAGTGAATGAAGAATAGTCTTTTAATAATTTTCTATGAGTAAGCAATTTTGTGCTGAAATCAATTGTCTTTAGTACACTTACAAACACACATTCTATAAGAAACCAATTTATCTTCAAATAAAGAATTAATTTTGTTCATTAATTAAAATAAATAGGCAAGATAAAGTATGTTACTTTTTAATAACATATGCATCAATCAATATAAAAATATAAAAATAAATACATTAAAAATATGTAAAAATTACAAAAATATAATACACTTTAATTATAACTTAGTTTCATGTCTAAAATGGCAATGTATTTGTCTTAAAGGTAATGGTGGAGCGTTATAGTCAGATTCTTCATCAGCGGAATCCACATCACCATCACTGCTATTAGTTGAGGCAACAGTTCGTAATGGTTTTCTCGATCTACTACGACGATAGTACTTAAACTCTCTTGGCAGTGTGTACGAACGAGGTAACGATAATTGACTTTCAAGATCAGACTGCGCATGAGATCCAGGTATCTCGGTAGGTTCCGGTTCAGGTATTGTACAATCACAATATAAATAACGTGGTGTTAAAAGTAATTCGGGGGTATGGCTGCGAGGGGCACGTGGTGGGGGACGGCGGTTTAAATTGACTCCATAACTCGCTAAATTGTTGAGCGACGCTAAACTTAACAGTTGTGGTTCGATGTGACGTTTGGTTCGTGGTATCGGTTGCCTGTCATCTGGGTTGGCATTTACAGGTCCAACCAGTTTACCTTGTTTTATTTCTTCCTCTATTATTTTCAATTCTGCCAACTGCTTTTGCTTCTTTTCTTGTAGTTTTTGGTGAATATTTACTCTTGAACCAACACTGCTGCCTTCATTTTCACTTGACGAAGGCAATGGCCTTCTCCAAAATGGTACGGATACCGAACCGATGGCTGGTGGAGGTACAAATGTTGTAGGTTTCTTTTTCTTTCGGTATAAGTCGGCAGATGGGTTGCTAAATCGACAATTAAAGACTCCAGGTGGAGCAGCAGGTTTGTCTAGCAATCGATGAATGTGAAAGTATCGATAATAGAGCAACATAAAGAGAATTCCTAATCCAAAAAGAACAATAGTTAAAATTGGTACTAACTGCCAGTAGGTGGGTCGCACTTGCCAAACTGCTGCAAGCCAGGCTCCGACAAGTAGACAATTTTCTAGTAGCATCACAATGTAAAATATTGACATGGTACGGCGATGCGGTTGGTCTTGCAAGTTGATATAAGCGAGGATATACATGGCCGCAATTATTACATAGATTCCCATTCGGTTTCTTTGCTGACCTTGCAGTCCACTCCGAGGTGACAAGAGCCATAGGAACATACACATCCAATGTAAGGCAAATACTAAGATTATCCACGAATGATAACAGGCAGCATATGCAGATAAAGCCAAAGCACGTGAAGTGACCGTTCCGGCACGCCAAAGCAATTGTGATACCACTCCCAACCAAGTTAATACCAGTTTGTCCACATCCTGAATATGCTTACTGAAGGATGCCAATGCCCAACAAATGGAAAATAGCGATAGTGCTGCTGAAACTGTCACTAAATCCGAGGGAGGTCCCTCACTGGTGGCAGGTAATAGGCTCAGTTGAAACAATAGCATTGGGGCTGCTTGTAAAAACCCATGTATAAGACGCAACACACACAAATCTCGAACTTCATGTTTAACACTGCATAATTGAACAGGTAGCAGCAACCGTGCATACCTCCACAGTACACCAAGCTGCCCAATATGTAACATCGTAACTAAAATACTTGTTTGAAGTGAGGGTTTCGTTTTCAAATACCAATGAAGAGAGAAAATTTGCATCACTACAGTTGTGAGCAACACAGCGGTTAAACATTGGGCAAATAATAGCTGCATTCCTCTTTCATATAAAGCGTATATCGTCAATAGGTCAAATACTATATCACAGAAATAAGCCGCCAGAGATACAACATTAAAAAGAAGATCGCATAGCGGCAAAAACTCTGCCATTGCTCTTCATAAACCATTACATGATGAAGTGTTCCGCACTGAAATGAAACTACAATTAACATCCTTTCAAAAAGATTATTTAAAACATACCATAACAAAAGTCTACATTCCTAACCTGCAATCTTCAAAGTAAATTACATTCCCACGTATTCAAGTTAAACATTCTACTTTATGCAAATTTTCAGTATTAGCTGCTAAATTGCAATTAAACATTTGCATAATTTTAAAGAAATGTATACAATTCCATTTATGAAGAATATGAAGATATTTTAACTGTTAAATCTTAAATTACAATGTTGCCAGATATGGTCTTCTTGGTCAATTCAATATTAATAAGTTCATCTCTCTCTCAAATTCCATTCCGATTTGTAGTAAAACGATTTAAATGAAGCTAACATTCCATAAATACCTTAAATTTTTGTAATAAAAGCCTTATTATAGCTAAAATGTGTTCTTTTTTATTTAATTCAGAATAAAAATGACAATCATTGCAAAAATTAGAATAGACAAATTAAGTGAGGTGAGATTTACTTTGCATTATTCTTATATTATTATACGTAAATATAAATGCATTAACAAAGGGGTGTGGTACATCCCACAATCATTTTAATTATTGAAATTAAACCATATATAGAAAATTGGAATGTTGGCGGCAACAGGTGGTTCATGATGATGTACCTAGTACTTACCTACAGGGTGTCTGCGAAATGAGAATTGGGAACGAAAAATAAAAAGTAGGTATATGTGTACACTATGTGATCTTATTTCTATGATAGTGAGAAGACGTTTTTTACATTTAACTGTTCTTTGATTTAATTTGCCAATTTAACGGAAAAGAAGAATTACGTCGAAAAGCTAAATTCGCATTTTTAAATTATTCAAGTTCCAGAAGCTTAATTTTTTAGTTTTTCCCCTCATCGCCTTTACGCGCCCTTTATGCTGATTTCTTCTCTTTGCTGTACCTTCAGACATCTTGATAAAGACCTTCTACCTACTACCTACCCTTCAGTTTTCATAACTTTCAGTTCCTCATTATGCTCCTTTTTCCTTCACATTTATATGATAATTGAAAATTTACTCATACGTCTATATGTTCTCTTACCGCCTTCACGTCTGCTTGATCATTGTTCCTTCTTTCCTTATTGTATTGTACTGTAAACTTGTATTTAATTAAACATCTGCAGGTAGAATTATCTGTATTTTTAATAAGTTTATTCAGGGCGCCAACTTGATTTTGTAGAGTTGCTTCTCTTGTGGCTTTACGTTTACAGTCTTTAGCTTCAGATAATTTTGTCTTTGATGTCATTGAGTCTTTTAAACATTCTTTATTGTTAATTATTTATATGTGTAAAATGTATCTTATGATCTGCAGACGCCTCTTTTAAAACGACGGGAAGGTCCGCCTCCGCCGGCCCTGACAGCGGCAAAAGTTACCTACAGCTTTTACAGCGAGAAACGTACTATAGTAGCGCTATAGTGCAGCAAAAATATGGCAAAAATCAATTATGACCTGTTCAAAATTGCAACACATAAGATTCTTTTTGCATTACCTATTCTCTGAGAAGTGTCTATTTTAACATATTAAAAATCCCCATTAATCCCGGCCTAGGGTCAAAAATTTTGTATTTTTCATTTTAAAATTTATAACTTTGTTATTTCAATGAAATTGGGCAAATATTTAAAATATAAAATAAAAGATAAAAACAGAAAAAAACTGACTACATCATTTTTTCAAACTGGCGGTCGATTAAATATACAGACTGATTCAAACTTGAGGGCCACCATGGGGATTGTTGGTTAAAGGATTCGATTGGCTAATATTTCACAAGTTGACCAATCGTGTTTTTGAAATTTGTCAGTTAAACTAATCTGAAGTTTAAACTGACATTGTACAACCGGGCCTAAGAGATAGGTAGGTAGTTTAAATTTGGCAAAGTTGCGTATTTTTATGCTTAACAAAATGCAGTTTTGAAACTGAACATATTCCGACTACTTACGGAGATATCGGGAAAAAAACGAAATTTTGCAAAATCGTTTTAATTTTTTACTGCAGTTATTAAAAAAGATATTTTGAAATAAATGACACATTAGTATGGCCACTTTTTTCCCTCTACAAAATGCTACTTTTAAATACCTACATATGTTTCTTTCCCGAGCGCAGAGACTTGCTATAACTAGACTGCGCTTAACGTATCTAAGGTGTTGTCGACACAGTATGCAACACACAATGCACCGCGGGGCAAAAATCGCAGAGATGATGTGCAATATAATGAAATAAGCTGTTATTTTAGATGTTCCGTTCATTAATCATTCTCGTGATTAGCTCGAGTTAGTGAACAGATAAATTTCCGTTGAGAATAAACCAATAAACTTAGGTTAACTCGTTCCTATCAACATGTACTCTGCCGATAAATTTTTAAATAATATGCTGATTTTCAACGGATAAAAGTTTAAAGGGCCAATGGATCAGAGCCATTCGAAGAGAAAAATTTACTCCTACCATAGTGCATGAATGGATGAATGAAGCCGATTTTAGAAAGGTACCGACGAAGGTGTTAAACAATAATGCAATACCGAGCGTTTTCGACTTTCCCATTCACTTAAAATAACGTAGAACTATTATTCGACATCCTTTACCAGCAAGACAACGGCAATACCTATTTGCCTATTAGGTATAGACGTAACTAAGTACTTACTGGTACTAAGTATATTTCAGGTTTTGTTACAAGAAACATAGCTAAGTCTGTTAAATGTTCCATATGTGCAGATGCGATATTCGCATCAGAGAGTCATTCAAAGCTTTTAACTAGAAAAAATCGTGGAGGATTGTTGCACGTATCAAGCGATGCATTAAGGTTTGGATTTAGAGAATATAGGCAACGGGTGATGCACATGTAATTCAATGGGGCGTGCATTGCCTCAGAACTTCATTCACCATTCCATAAGCAAGGGGTGTATATGATCGGAAAAATATGCATTAGGTAGATAGATGTACAGAGCATAGTTTCTATACAATATAAACTGATATTTTGTCCATTAATATATGTTTAAAAAATCTAGAAAACATGCGTCAAAAGAGTTCATAGTTTAGGAATTAATTGCAAAAATTAGGGAGCATTTTAAGCAATACGAATGTATGGGATCGGTATCGTGAATACTTATCTATATTTTGGCAATTCATGTGAAGCTCAAAAGTTTTCATAAAAAAAGTGGTGAATGAAGTTCTGAAAAATGGGCATGTAAACTGGAGATATGGAAATAAACTACGCAGCTGTGACTAATATCGCGGTCAACAGTGTAGCTTCTTTCTCACAGAGGGTGCCACCAAGAGTTTCATGAAGTCGGTAAAAAATACGATAAAGATATTAAATAGGTACCTAAGCGCTTTTATCTTGCGATGGAGTTGTTCTTACTTTTTAACTAGGCTAGTACCGTTGAGCTAGTACTGTGTAATGGGGATAACAAAAGACAAAAATTTACGAGCAAAAAAAAACTAGCAGGCTATGTAAGTTGCCTATGTTAAATCATTTAGCGATTCTCTTTCAAGGTTAAACAGAGCCTGCTTGTAAAAGAATTTGCTGACAGCAAGAAAAAGATCGTTCACTGGTATATTTTTATTTTGTCAACTACTTGCTTCGAAATTTATTTGGTTTCTCTTTCCTATTCATTGCAAAAGGTAACCTCCTCTACCTATCGTTTTATGAAATAAATAATAGAAATGGGGATAGGTAACATTCCTTTATAACAAATATCAAAATTTTACGTTATTTTTAGAACAAAGGGCTGTTGTATATTGTTGTTGATGTCTGGCAAGTTACGACCTTGTGTGGGTGTTTATTTGTAATGCGATTTGTTTGACCGTCTTCCTTATTCTTTATCTTTGCTTATTGCACTTTGCAGATTAAAATACCGTAATTTATAATCCATACCTTGTTGCAAATTAAATTTTTTGAACTTCAATAGTACCATTGAATAAAGCTCTTTATTCAATGATAGTACCTATTACATATTATTAGTATTAGTTTAGTCAGTTTAGTGTAATGTGTAATAATTGACCTATACAGGGTGATTCAAATTCAAAGGCCACCATGGGGATCTCGGGAACTGTAAGAGATAGGTAGTTTACATTTGACAAAGTTACCCTTGATGGTAACATCATCTAGTTTTAATAAGAAATAACGTTAATTCGTAAAAACGCAAGAAACTACTTACGTACGTTACTTAAGACAAAGGCAAAAAAGATGTTTTACAAGCATTAAAAACATTGATGTGTACATTTTTGAAATCAGAAAAAAATTCTCTATCAAATCACACAAAAAGTAAAAATTACTTCCATAAGAAACAAAGTTGATGATAGTTAACCGGAGACGAAACGTCAAACTTCAAATTTAAAAGTAGCATCTTGTAGAGGGAAAAAAGTGGCCATAATAATGTGTGTTTTATTATTAAATATCTTTGTAAATAACTATTAACTTCAGTAAAAAACAAAAACGATTTTCAAAATCTCGTTTTTTCCGGATATCTCCGAAAGTAGTCAGAATTTCAGTTTCAAAACTGTTTTTGTTAAGCATCAAAATACACAACTTTGCCAAATTTACCACCTACCTATCTCTTACATTTCCCGAGATTCCCATGGTGGCCCTCGAATTCGAATCAGCCTGTCAATTACTAATTTACAAAAGACCATCCCTCGAATGTAAGACATTGGGTACAAATGTATATGTATTTAGGTATAAACGGCTAAAAAATTTTAAAAAAATCGGTATACCGTATGTCCCCGGATTGACTTTACGAGAAGAAAAACTTTTACTATACTTTTTGACAAAAATCCATTCTCATAAAAGCTTTTGCTTGTTCTAATTCGAAATGTCCCTACCGTTTCAGAGAAAAATATAAAAAAAACGAAAATATGCGGTTGAACTTTTCCAAGTCCTAAAAGTCAAAACGCGTCTTTACTGTAATAACATTTCGTTAGTTACAAAGTCTTCGTTACCTGTTATTTGAATAGGCACTAGGATCGTTATAACTTATAAGTATAACAAACACACTTCGTAATGACATTGAATTTCATTAAGTGAAGGAATCAAGAGTTTTACTGAGGGTCCTCCCAAACAAAAAGCCCCTGTCGCCACTTGTGAACCAATTTTACGACCTTAATTTTGAAAGTCCCCCATGCCAATAATTACGCGATTTTTACTTCATAAGTTACGTTACAAGCGGTTCATTATTCTCCTCAAGTTATGTGCGGTAGAGAGCTAATTATAATTTTGTTAACCTAGCAGTCTGTAAGGAGCCGTGAACGACCTTGCGTTTGTGTTTTGTATCTTCTTGTCGTGTGGTTATGCAAATCAAATTGCATTTTTTTAAAGCACCCTCTGTGTTGTTTGGGGCCCACTTAAAGAGAGTGTAATGATTTAAATATTTGTATAGAAAACTGCTGTAGTTACGCTATTCATTATTAGGTACCAGCACATTCTAACGAAAAAAACTTTGTCCTTTACTATGGGTACTTCTCTTTTCAGGCAATCCCAGCCTTAAAAATTTGTCAAATTGCTGAAAATGTGTTCAGGTTTTACATTCAATCCACACCACACCGCGTTGTAAACAAAATGGTTATCAGCAGTCTAAGAAAAATAAATAACAGTTACCAATAAATTCGATTAAAACAGTTAACAGCTACATATATGTTATCTTTTTTGCTACTAAAATTTATAATAAACATGGCTAAAGCAAGTTGCAGAACGTACGTCTGCCCCGCGATGAACAGTTGGTTGCCTATCCTATCTTGACAACAGGCGTTTATAGTAAAATCTACGTTACGCGCGGTCTAGTTATAACAAGTCTCTGCCCGAGCGCTACTTAAAATTGCGAGAACCGTACTGTTCCGTTCCGTGTGAAAGAGATGGGAGAGTGCGCATGCACGCTGTCTCCATGTGATAGAAGCAGACAGAAATATTAGTTATATTAATTTTACTTAAGAGCACTCTTGACTCTTAACAGCGTACGAGTTCATTAGTGCCATCCACGGGCCAGGTTCGTCTGTATTATAAGCTTGCTCTGGAAATAAGTCTATTTGTTCAACCTTGTTTTGAAAATTAGCGCTTATACAGCGAGTAACTGCTTCCACGTTGGACATACGTCTTCTAGATGCCCCTTCCCCTCCAAATGATTAAGTGTGTTAAAAGTTCAGTTACATTTTAACATGTGGCACAATGGTCTGGCGGCTAAAACACCCGGCTGGCATCCGAGTGGCTCATCAATACGCGTACCCAATTCAGCGGGAGTTGGACATTTAATTATTTACAGGTGTAAGATTGTTTTCTCAAATTTTTTCAAAGAAATCGTACACAAAACAACAAAATCTTACACAAAGTTCGCATGTTTATGAGGAAGCAGTTACAGTGCCACCATGCTCAGAAAAGCCCCGGAAAATATGCGAACTAATTTTGAAATAATTCAAGCTGGCCAATAGAAAGTCTGCAAAACCACGCGATACATTCCGCGGCATAATTATTAATTATTCCGTTTTGACAGTTGACGCTTCACGTTATTTTAGTTTACACTTTTCCTGTTGTATTTGCTTTATTTTACGTTTTCCGTCTCCAGTTTTATACAAACTCGTCTTTTTTCAAGACGCATATAGCTTGGATCTACGATCTGATAAGGTATGTAATTCCCTTAAAGTGTTTTTAAATTTTGTATCAGAATGTACGGTCTAAATTTCTAGCGCCCTCGGACACGCCCTGTCAGGGACTTTCTGAGCGTGGTGCCACTTGTACTTACTGTAAGGGCTCATGTTTTAAACTAGGTCCTGAAAAGAAGGATATTTTCCCACAATTTTTAAAATGCCACATCTTTTTTAAAACGCGTTAATCAACTTTCACTTGTGTCGTAACGGATCCGTTGTTACCAAAAACTAAGTTTATCTTAATTTTAAATGAGGATTTCATTAATGTCTATTGATTTTTGACAAATATACGTACGGCTAGCTCAATCGGAAGTTGAAACCTAAAAGAAGACCCTGTATCTATTAAATCCAATTCACCGTAAGCCGAGACTTTAGACACAATAGCACTTAACCTATACTAGCGATGTTTTACATGTGATGTGAGATCTCAAAAGTTTAAACATCAAAATTTAAAAATAAAACGATGAAGCGTAATGTTGAATATGGAAATCAAATTATAAGAACAATAGAAGATGATGAAGAAGTGGAAAACTTTTCCGAGGACAGTGACGACGATCTGGATGACGATAAAAAGGTCTGTTATTTTTGTTTTTGAAACCATTCATTATTATAATTATGTTTCTTTAGTTTCAACCGGGTGCGAAGAAAAATAAGGAAACCGCCTTCGATAACGCATTTGAGTTTGTAAACTCGGTCGAGGAATACAACAAGAATACCTGGAACGATTTGCATAAATATGTGAGGCGAAAACCGTCAACCAAAACAGATGATAAAATCAAGAAGATACGTGATCAATCTTTGAATGGCGAGAGTGAATTGGGGAATGAGAGTGATTCAGAAGAAGAATCTGACGGTTCGTTATCTAGTGAAGATTTGCAGCATGATACAATTAAGAAGAAAACTCGTAAACGGAAGGCGAAGAGTGTCAGTGAAGCTGAAGATGTTGATATTAGTACCTATGATGAAACGATGAATTTTTATCAAATGAATTTATCAAGACCACTAATGAAAGCCATAACACAAATGAAGTTCATTCATCCTACTCCAATTCAAGCTGCAACGATTCCTGTTGCGTTATTAGGTACGTATTTATCTTTTTCAGGGGAAGTCGGCTAATTTTGGTAGAGGTAGATATAAAAAATTCTGTGGACCTGCTGTAACGTTTGGCAACAATGCATTATTGTAAACATTAGTGTAGTCTAATCGCTCACATGAATCACTTTCTGTGCAATTTAAACCACATGCATTGGGCATTTTGATTAGTGCAAGATTTTTATCTTGGCTGAAATTTTGTAAAGATAAGAAGCCAACATGATTATCACAGCAATCCAGTATAATTTTATGGTATTTGGATACGGGTATTGATACAGCAATACCTAATACAGAATTACATAATAAATCAAAAATAGTATAACGTTTTTAAGAGAAAGTTGTAATTTGTTTTTCACTGGCAATTATTTTAAAGTTTTATTGTTGATACTTTTGGTTGGTTGCAATATTCCACTATAGCTTGCATAGAGGTTCCCAGCGAAAAATAGATTCGATGTATGAGGTGAATAAATACCCAACGTACAAAGCATTATTCTAAGATTCTGGAATCAGTGTACTACAGAGTGTCTCAAATTTGAAGGTTACCAGTGGCGGTTCCTTTCAAGTTGGGTGGTCTGCACCAACCACAAGCAGTTTTAATTAATAATAATAATACTATTTCGATAACGAAAATATACAGTGAGGTTTTCTTAAAAGTGAGCAATGCAATTATCTCAATGTTCACTTTATAATAACCAGATCTACTGCAATAATCTGCAAAAATAAGTGGTGAAGTTAAATAACAAATGAATAAATCTACACCTGTCAAATAAATTTAAATATTTGCACTTTATTCTCATTTAATCTAACCAATGACGCCAAAGAAGATTTTTTATTTAATGATATACGAATTAGTTAATTTCCAGCATTATTTTATCAAAAATTTGGTATTAAATCCTATTACCAAAATCATGATAAGCCATGACTAGTAAGACAAAAAGCAGATTCAAACGTTATTCAAGTTGAAATCAATATCAGTTTATGACAACTGACATTAATTTTTTTTATAAAATGCAGTTCACTGAGGAAAAAGTAGTTATAATAAACAAACTTTACAGTGGAAATAGTTACCCTAGTACGCAATGTTTGTTTTCCGTGCATTTTAATGAGTGTCCCATTCCGTCTGTGTCAAAAACTATTTCAAATCATTAGAATGTTTACATGGCTTAACGTGATTTTGCTAATTGGATTTATTGCCGCATTTTTGTTAAAATAATGAGAAATACAAACTAAAAACTCATTAGATGAGAAAAAAAAACTTCTTTCAATTGGTGTCATTATAAGTTAACATGGGGAGCAACGATCTGCAAAAAACGTTTTTCCCATGTTAATTGCCTATGTCGGCTTTGAAATATTCACATAGTATAGAAAATAATACTATTATCATATAAATAAAGAAACTTCTAAACGAAATGCTCGTATGTATTTTTCCTATTTTGTGAAATAAGAAAAGAGGGGAAGGTACAGTCATTTTTTTCTGCTTCGTGGATTTTCATAAACTTGGTATGGTTTAAAAGTTGATACATTAGAGACTTCAATCACATGCCTGGAATATTAATTTAGGGCTATTCGTGTCCGCCAGATGGCACTTTAGATTAACGTCATACTTTTTGACTTGTTTCTCAAAAAATTTAAATGTAAAGTATACTTGAAATAAAGTCAGTAAATCAAAGAAGATTTTTTTGGGAAATATGCTCGGACACATTGATTAGTATTTTAAACTGCTCTCTTTTTGATGTACTAAATGTTTATACGTGTCCCAAATTTGAGATGTGACGTCATCGACTATTTTTTTAAATGCAACTTTTTGTATGCACAGTGTTATTCCGTACATTTAGACAGCACGTCTATTATAAGAGATAGAAAAAACCTTTGATATAAAAGTTGTGGGGTTTATCATAGATCGGCAGAAAATGTAAAATAAAAAAACAAATGAATATCGCCAAATTAGTAAAGAATGCAAACTTTTTTATGGAACGCTCTGTATATTTTTCAAAAATTGAATAGATCTTTCCTTTCCGATTTGAAAAATATATAATATGTTGACATTTGATTTAGCCGTTTTTGAAATATTTGCATTTATAATATACTAGCAGTGCCGCCTTTGGGAAATCCTATTCACGCAGACCTGTAAATTGTAATTGAAGAACCAATCATTGATTATTATCAATTTTTCACTAATATCCGAATGAAACAATCATTTTGTATTCCAGGTAGAGATATATACGGGTGCGCTGCAACAGGCACAGGAAAAACGGCCGCTTATATGCTTCCCACTTTGGAAAGACTACTTTTCCGCCCAAAAAATGACATGGCAACGACCAGAGTATTGGTATTGGTCCCTACTAGAGAATTAGGTACTCAAGTATACCAAGTAACGCGACAACTTTGCCAGTTTACTAACATACAAATCGGTTTGGCTGTCGGTGGCTTAGATTTAAAAGCGCAAGAGAGTGTCTTGAGAAGAAATCCCGATATTGTAGTCGCGACGCCCGGACGATTGATAGATCATCTGCAAAGCACGCCAAGTTTTAGTTTGGCCTCCATCGAAATTTTAATTTTGGACGAAGCAGATCGAATGTTAGATGAACATTTTGCGGAACAAATGAAAGAGATAATTAAGCAGTGCTCTTATACTCGCCAAACGATGCTTTTTTCTGCCACGATGACCGAAGAAATTCGCGATCTCGTTAATATATCGTTGAAAAATCCAGCTAGAATATTTGTCGACAGTAATAAAAATGTCGCATTTAACTTGAGGCAAGAATTTGTACGAATACGAACAAATAATGAAACAGATAGGGAGGCCATTCTGGCCGCATTGGTTTGCAGAACATTTCGAGATCATTGCATGATTTTTGTGCAAACAAAGAAACAAGCGCATCGAATACATATATTACTGGGACTATTAGGAGTCAAGATTGCAGAATTGCATGGTAATCTAACCCAACCTCAACGGTTAGATGCTCTTCAAAGGTTTAAAGATGAAGTTGTCGACGTTATTGTGGCAACAGATGTTGCGGCCCGTGGACTGGACATAATTGGTGTTAAAACGGTTATAAACTTTGTAATGCCTATGACATTAGAACATTACATTCATCGTGTGGGGCGGACAGCACGAGCGGGTCGTGGAGGTGTTTCTGTTAGTCTCGCTGGAGAAAGTGAGCGAAAAATTGTAAAGCAGATAGTGAAAAATGCCAAGCATCCTGTTAAAAGTCGAGTAATCGCCGTCAATATTTTAGAAAAATACAAAACCAAATTGGAATCTCTCGAACCTAAAATGCAGCAAATCTTAAAGGAAGAATTAGAAGAGAGGTTAGTAAGCAGAACTGAAAATAAACTTAATCGTGCACAGAAATTGCTAAAAGGAGAAGGGGAGCCTAGCCGACCTTGGTTTCAAAGTGCAAAAGAACGCAAGCTAGAAAAAGAAAAGCTTCGCAAGAATACCAAGAAATTACCATCAAAGGGTCAGAAACGTAAAATGGAAGAGGGGGACGATAACGAAAAGGTAAAGATAAGCAATTTGGCAAAAATGCAAGTGCGCCATGCAAAACGTAACGCTAAGCATAAGAAATTGAACACCTACGAAGAGTCGAATAACAAAAAGGGTAAGATTAAAAATAAGCAAAACTTAACAGATGCATTTTGTAACACTTCGAAATCTAACGCAAAGAAGTTCAGGCATAAAGCGAACGTTCATAAGAATAAATTTAAAAAATAGCGTAGTAACGGTCAAGAAATCCTACTGTGCCTGCATCTGTCTAGATTGTAAACGTTTAACTGAAATCAATCTTTTGTACATTCTTGTAATGTTTAAGAATATTTTAATTTGTTGTACTAAAAAATGATGTATCAATTTTGGTATGTTACTGCCAATAATATATTTGTTTAAATAAGATCAGACTGTCCACACTGTTTTTCTAGAAATAAAAATCCTTCCTCTGACCAAGAACATAGGTACAGGTTTGAGCTAAAAGACCATCACACTACTTAAAAAATTACTCTTTCAAATTTGCTGATAAGTAAGCTACCATTAATTAGTTGTCAGAATGAGTACTGAGAATGTATGGGGTTTCCCTCTTAAAAATTTAATCATCTACATATACAGTAAAACCCTGATTATCCATGCTCTACAGGACCAGATAAAGCACAGATAATCCAAATTAATATGTAGGTATTTTTTACATATGAACAGATTGTATACTACTGTGTGCAATGGTATGCATTGGCAAACAAACCTATCTAGCTAGCTCAATGTCTCCTCGTACACTTCCGGCATCTGCTTCAAAGAAAAGTCCCAATATTGACCGAAATTAAGGATTCGAGAAACTCGGTAGCCTCCATCAACTTCCGAAAATACCAAAAAATTTATTACACTGATTAGCACCTGAAATGATCTTGGGACACGAAAAGAAAAATATGGGTTGCACAAAGGATTTGAATAAACACAATTAAATTGATTAACAATGACAAAAATTTATTCCGAAACACAAAACTGTAAAATTTAAAAAAATTTCTGAAAGAACGAAAAACTTAAATTGCTCCGCACGCAGTCGGTCGATAGTAAAAATTATAAATCTCAAAATTGCAATTTTTTTCTTTTAATAAACGGGTCCTACAAGGGTTTCCGATCAAACGCGCACATCGTGACGTACCTGCATATCCGTTATTTCTTAAAATAGCGATAAGAAAACGTGTGTTAAATAAATTTCGTCTGATAACAAAGCTTCTGATCGTAAACCACCAGATGTGCCGCGTTTAAAGCATCTTCACTAAAAATGAATTACAATAACGATAAAATTCAAACAAGAAAGTAATACGCATTTACAAACAATTCTGAAAGGAAAAAAATAATACAGACACAAATTCAAGTAAAATAAATCAAACTTGTGCTTATTCGTAAATAACTAAATAGACCGAAGGAACGTCTACACTTTACAATATGATGGTCAAATTAGAGATGCGTAATTAAAGAGTTATTATCATGCTTTATAGAAAACCCGAAAATTCCGATTATTTCCGAAGCTGCCGAAAAACCGTTAAAAAATTAAGTTTCCACTTATTCGCATAAACGATGAGTGCTCTCCAAGGTCATGTAATTTAACAATGTAGCTGCTCAACCGGTTAATCATCTTTTGTGCAATAAAACCCCTTTATACTTTTTTACCCCCTTTTTAATATGACTTTCACCACGTTTTGTACTTTTTAATAATTTTTTAACCCAACTCACTTGTTCGCTGTATATAATATAAATCACCAGTTAATTTAGTTTAGACTATTCATTCAACAATTACCTACACCGACATGACAATAGATTGTTGTTTCATATATACTTACCTTACCACAAGCATCCTTTGAAATCACAACAATAAGGTATTTGAATTTTTAAGCTTCACAGCGGGCGCCACTGGTTTTCTTTCCCGACTGCATATTGGCTTTGAAATATAGTATTCAAAGATGTAAATAGCAAACAGAATCCTTCACAGTATTTAGACTATTATGGCACACATTCAATCGTGATTAAACCTGCAAATGTCAGATGCCTTCAGAAGAATCCATTGGGTATGTAATTACAGAAACCAAGTAATAACATTATACAGGGTGGTGACTTGCGTAACGCATCATAGGGATTTCAGTGTAAAATTTATAACATGCGATTATTGGCTCCCCAAATTATTTTAGAGCAAAAATGTATTAAAGTTTTTTGTAGAAAAAATTTTTTTACGTCAATCAACCGTATTATAGTTTTAAATTTTTTTCATATAAAGACGGAATATTGGAAAAATAAAACCCGCATCTTTTTCAATAATCTGCGATGCCATGGAAATTTCTAAAACAAAAAGATATCCAGTTATCAATTAGCCGCAGTTCCAAATGGATTTTATGATCGACTTGGTTACTGTATTGCAGTTAAATGGTGACTTATTCGAACATTTATTGTAAATTATTATATTAGGAAACCGCTTTTAGTAATTTGGTCTTTCTTTATGTTGAATTCGCTGTTCTAAATATAAAACTTTTTGATAGAATTTGATTTGTTTTATAGCCGACATTGGACATTCCATGGCATGACCGATATTGGCGTAGTTTTTGTATTATAAAATTCCATGGCATCACAGATTATTGAAAAAGATGCGGGTTTTATTTTCCCAATTTTCCGTCTTAATTAATAATTTGGGGACCAATAATTGCATGTTATGAATTTTACATTGAAATCCCTATGATGCGTTACGCAAGTCACCACCCTGTATAACAACACTATATTTGAAAATACAAACTGATAAGTGTACTCAAATTGACCATTGGGACAGTATTGTTAAAGAAATTGTGATAATTTTAATACGAAGGATGCGATGCGATAGGAGATGAAACACTTGAGATTCGGGATAGCTGATGTCTATTCCTAAATTATCGTAAGTAATTATTGCACAAGTGCATCAAAATTAACGGTAATTTTTTTGAAAGCATCATGTCTAAAAACTGCATGAGTTTATTTTGATTTGATTTATTCCTCTTCGCAGTGTTGGATATACTTTACAATTATTTGGTGGCATTTTATATTCCTCCACAAATTTAATATTTCTCAATTGCAAAAATTGAACACTGTTCGTTGTCATTTCCTTTCATTTTTCCTGTATGAATAATAAATAGGCAAGGTATGTGAAAGTACCTACTTAATTTTGTAGGTATACGCAGTGTGTCCGTTCGATAGAAAGAAGGATATAGTAGTGTAGTGTTAGTTAAATATGGGGTCACTGTCAACGAGAACAGATGAACAGTTGATAACTTCGTTCTAGTCTTAAGTGTATGTCATTGTCTATTGTCAATGTGTAGGAATGACTCTTATAATAATAATCATAATTGCTGTATGCATTTATTATTAAAGTCCATTTTAATAAATTCCAGCAGTTGTTAATGTAACCGATCGATCCCGTATATGACACAACAAGTAGGAGAGCTGGTAGACATTTTTGGGTAAGTATTTGAGGCACGGTGAAAACTTGTCCACCACTTCTCCAATAATACCCAAACGCAGAAATGCAGACCTGGCTGAGGAGAAGCGGGGCTAACACCTTGCCAGGCGCCTTCAAAGTTTGAAAAAAGAATGTATGCCCACTCGAGTATCTCAATGCGTAACAAGTAGTGGATGATGGATGGACATTATTAGTGTCGTCTGAATTAGTTGTAATTGTATCATGTTGAAATTTGCATCGTTTCTTATGCCGAAATAAAGACAATTCTCCTGAAACTTTCGTCAAAAGTGATCAAAGTACACTGGGTGTTCATGTATTTATTACGGTCAGTCATTGAACTATATACATATGCTCTGTAACAGAGTATATAGTTCAATTCGGTCAGTATACACTTCAAATCAGGAGTCCCTTGGGCCTGCTTCATTTGATTTGTCAATCAATTTCAGACAAGGTTTTTTTTATTGATTTCGCATACTTGATAGGTTGTTACAACGTTTTAGCGTATGTCTAAAATTGATTCACAAATCAATGACATTATCTTTTTCAAACTTTGAAGGCCTCTAGGCAAAGTGTTTTAGCCCTGCCACTCCTCAGCCAGGTCTGCATTTCTGTGTTTGTGCATTATTGGGGAAGTTTTCAGCGTGCCTCAAATACCTACCCATAAATGTCTACCAAGCTCCGGCAGCTTTCGGACATACATCAGCAAAGTGTTGTAGAATTCTGAGCTAATTTGAAATAAATAATCTCATTTTGAAAATTTGAAAAACAGCAAATTGCCGAAGCCGCGAAGTAAAATGGTCGCCGGGACAGGAACAGCCGGGGTGACCGTGGCCGGGAAACAGACTTGTGCCTTCTCTCTGTCATAGAAACTGAATTTCCTGACGGAAAGTGGGCATAAAAATGAAGATTTTCAGAACGATTTTGGGTAGGAACTTAGTTTATGATTGTATTTTTGGGCCGATCCCGGAGGTACTGCAAGACCGGGCCAACCCGCGACGGAGGTGGAGCAAGCCCCTAACCTCCGTCAATTTCCAAAAATCAGTTTAATATACTGGACCCGCATGCGGGTCGTATCAGATATTAAGCTGATAAGAACAGATACTACACTTTGATCTTAGCCATAGGCCGAGAAGCGATAACGTATAAAATTTTACGTGATGGTTTTATTTCGTCTAGTCCGCAAATAAACATGCAGAGTTACGTGTGGCGCCACCATTTGAGATTCCATCTACCCTTTACTAGTTTGTCGGAGAATTGTATATAGGTCGCTGTCACAGCTCGTTGGTTTCGACATTGATTATACAGTGTATAATCAATGGTTTCGATAAGTCAAAAAGAAATCTCGCTGTCGTAAGTAAGTTGACATTGCTACAGATGCTGGGTGCGCTGTAATTTGCGTTTTCTTTTGTTCTGTGGTTTTTTTTAATAACTTCGTAGAAGTACAAGTATTGTGATCTATGGAAAGTAGCTTGGCAAGAAATGGCGAAAAAAACATAAAATATTTTCCATTCCAGTTTACTACTTCGCAACCAATCTAAATTTATCTATAAATATAATATATTCGAAGTTAAATTAAAATGTCTTATCAATTATATCGAAATACGACACTAGGGCACACTCTTCAAGAAAGTTTAGATGAACTTATACAAGTGAGTATAAGATTGAATCACAAAAAAGTACAAATTTTGGGTTTTTAGTATGGCCAAATTACACCACAATTAGGTTCGAAAGTCTTACTGCAGTTCGACAAATCAATTAATCAAATGCTAGCATCACGAGTGAAATCTAGACTAACTTTTAAGGCCGGAAAACTGCATACGTATCGGTTTTGTGATAATGTATGGACTTTTATGTTGAACGAAGTCGAATTCCGTGAGGTTCAAGAAGTTACCAAAATCGATAAAGTGAAAATAGTGGCTTGTGATGGCAAAAGTATAACTTCGCTCATTTTAATTATTTGTCGTTTAATATTTGTTTTTTCAGATGTCACGGACGAGGGTAGTTCTAAAAAATGATGGTTGGATAGGTTACATTATGTCTTAAGTACCTTACTATATTTGTAAAGGATTCTATGTACTTTGTACATTTTATTATATTAAACGAATGAATATTGTATTATAAGTGACATCTAGATACTGAGTCGGAGTTGTGAACCTATACCTATTATTAATGGAAATGGAGTATTTGCTTTGCGTAGGTAATATGATAGTATTTTGTAATTTAACTCAAAGTACAGGTGGTAATTCTTCAGTTTTGTGAAAAAATTAAGGCAGGTAATTAAGTTGTTTTTATTAAAATTTATTTGAAACATTTTTATAGAGTTATTGGTGTTCTGCATGAAGGGGAACAATTTTTAATATACAGGGTGTCCAACGATAAGTTGCTTTTCTGAATTCTTTTTTTACTGCACCTACACCTTCACTACTTGAATAATACAAAAAAAAAGGTCATAATTTGTCTGTGTACAGGAAAGTGTCTAAATTTGAGTCAGGGTTTCTGGATTTCATGCGACGAGGGTGAACTTACATGTACATATACTTAGGCCTTTCTTTTAGACCCTTATTTGTACTGCTTCCATGATTAGAGTTATCTGTCCCCAGCGTACCACTCAAGCCACCCCACGCTTCAGGAGAAGCAGCTCTAATCTTTGCCACGCTCTCTGATTTAGGCGAATGCTGGACACACACAAAATTGTGGTGAACCGTCTCATTATCTGTATTTCAGCCCTAGAGGAGGGCGTTTGTGGTGCATATGATTTTTACTTTCCGAAAAGGAAAGTGTTGTGAACGTGAAAAATTTTTGATATGCCAATATTAGGTTTTGAAGCCCACAGACCCCAAAAAACTGATTTTTAACTTGACGTCTGTGTGTGTATGTGGTTCGTTTTTTGTGAACAGGATAATTAAAAAACGCCTGAACCGATTTGCACGAAATTTGGGGTGTAGGGGAAGGTTGAAAATTACTACAGTGTGATAATACAAGTTAGGGCGTATTGTGGTTGTTGCGTACATAGTTAGATAGGGTGGAACTTTCCGTAGGTATATGGGTAGGTTTCATTTGAGTGTAATATACAGTGTGTTTAGATAATGCTTTCCTTCTAAATTTTGTGTACGTATAGTTAGATGCTAATGGAACTTTCCATTTTACATTTGAACAATTCGCAGGAAGGTGACTGTAAAATTCAGTTACGATGTTTGCGCAATGAGTGACCCTCCAATCCAAAATGTATTTTGCCCGCGATTTTGCATTTATATCTAAGGTCTTCGACATAATAACTCTTAGACTAAAGTTGTTTTTCGAGATGAATGCCACTAAGTAAATTTTGTAACTTCAGTATAATTATCAAAATAAGAATAACATTTATACTGAAACAAGCAAACCTTACTAGTAACTGAAAGCCATACAAAACACTAATTAGTCTAATAATTATTTCATAATTATCTGCATGGTCAGAAGATTTTGGTGAGGGCCGACCATATATGCGCTATATTGCGATGGTTATTGCAATTTAAGCGTCCAGGAGACCAAGTGGCTAAGATTGGAAAGACTGATGCAGGAGTACGACTAGTGATAATTAATTGGAAAATGGAAGAGTAATAGATGTTAACCTAGGAAGAGATATCGCTAGTGGACTCAGTGGGACTATACTTACTAAAAGATGATGATGGCACGATCACACTGTGCAGATAGTGATATCGAAGAGCACAAAATCTGAAATATAATGCGGTGGTATATATTACAGGAAATCTATGAGTAACGACACCCTGATGGTTAAGGTTCGGGAACGATTCTACTGGGTAAATTGCAAACAAGATGTGAGTTAAGAAGTGGTCAGAAAATGTGTTCAGTATTGTGTCACAAGGAACGGGCCAGTAGCAAAAAAGAAAGCACCAAGAAGAAAAAGGAGCCAATATAACGTAGCTAGTCCATTTGAAAAAAGTTGTAGCCTACAACTTGTAGGAGGTTCCCTCCTAGGGCAGCTTCTAGAAATAAATATACTTCTTGGGGGCGCAATGGACTATTTCAGCAAATGAACAGAAGCATTTGTCCTACCAAATCAAGAAGCGACAACTGCTGCAGACGTTCTGGTAAAAGAACTTTTTGGCGGATCCGGAGTTCCCCTGGAACTACACAGTGCAATTCCAAACCCTGTGTCAATTTTGCATTTGCAGCAAGACCAGATCGAACCACTATATTTTTCACCAAAAGTCAGATGGAATGGAAAGTTAGACTAGCTTATCGTGCGCATTATGCTGGAGATAGGAGATACTGGGGTAGAAATATTGGTTTGTTATTGTTTGAACCGCGGAGTAGGTATAATAACCTTGCAACTGTTTCGTAAAACCCTTAATTGCATCTTCTAAAACAGAAGCTGAAGGGGTCGTGGTAAAATATATACAACCATCGAAATAACGTGATAGAACGGGAGTTCTACGCGCCTATAGTGCGTTGATGCGTGATTCGGACATGGTGCACAATTCAACGCATAGTGTATATGGTACGGTGCGCCAATGCGATGCGTGATGCGTCGATTTCGAGAGAAGTCGGTTTTTCAACGAATCATCAAAGGAAAGTGTACGAATCTACGAATTGACGCATCTACGCATCAACATTGTTTGATGCCGGGTGCGTGATTTGTTAGCATTGGTCTAGAATCCATTCCGTGCATCGCATTCGAATCAAATCGTCGCATCGATTATGATGCATTAAGTATACACATGCAACACGCACTGCACTGACAAAACTAATCGACGAATCGCATTCATTCTTTTTGTCCATCCTGTGGATGTTAAATTTCAAAATTTGGTCTCATTGCTGAGATCCCAAACTCCTATCTGTACGCGTAGAATTTCGTCAGATATAGCTTTTATTTACAATGCTGTTAGTTTTAGAAAAAATACGCAGAAAATGAATTTTTAAAGAAAGTGCGGTAAATCTGTTTCAATTTTGGTAATAAAGCTCGAACAAGAAGGTTGGCATCCCTTACCATGTGAAATCAAGGTTGGTATTCGAAAAGTTACCGTCGATATAATACAGAAATGTCGTTTTGTTACGCGTTGTTTATAGTTATTTCTCCGGTCATTGAAAACGTAAAACTGAAATAAATACCGATCAGATTTTTTTTAAACGTTATATTTTTATGGTTTGAGGTGTAAGACAACTTTGTTTGGTGGTTTGATGTGATAAAAACAATAACTTAAATGTTATTTTAAATCTACTTTTATACCATACATCTGAATTCACCCAGTGAAATCAGGTAATAAGCGTCTTTTATTTACTTTATGCCAGTAAAGCATTTCTTGGTAACAAAATATGCGTAGTTGCATTATTTTGGCTTTCCGCAATTTAGGTTAGAATTATTCAAATCTAATGCTCTGATTTTGTGATGCAGACACCCATCATGTCTGAAATTACGTATCCACCTGGGTGCCGACCGATAAGTGACGACTTGGGGGCCGATGAGTTGATTAGGCGGCTTAAGACATTGGCTCACACGTTACAAGCGATGGGACAAGATGAGGGAGCTTATCAACAGTACATTCCTTTGGCAATACATTTGGCTGACGATCAATTTTTAAATCATCCGTCTCGTGATGTTCAACTACTAATTGCATGCTGCATCGCCGATGTATTAAGAGTGTATGCTCCGGAAGCACCTTACAAGGATTCGGATCAAGTGAAAACCATTTTCCTATTTCTCATAACTCAGCTTTCCGGTTTAAAAGATCCAAAAGACGCAGCTTTCAAGAGGTACTTTTACTTGTTAGAAAATTTGGCGTATGTTAAATCGTTTAATATGTGTTTCGAGTTGGAAGACTGTCAAGAAATATTTTGCGCTCTATTTCATCTTATGTTTAAAATTGTGAACGACGAGCATTCCGGTCGTGTTAAGAGCTTTATGCTGGATGTGTTATCGCCTCTTATTACTGAAAGTGATATGGTCAGTAATGAACTTTTAGACATCGTTTTGATGAACGTGGTGGAACCTAATAAGACACAACGCAAAAATGCTTATTTGCTGGCGAAGGAATTAATAATTAAAACTTCGGATACTTTAGAACCTTATATACAATCGTTTTTTAATCATGTTTTGATATTAGGCAAGGATGTAAAAAATATTCAAATTTGTGGGAAGGTTTACGATTTAATCTACGAGCTGAATCACATCTGCCCACAAGTTTTAGAAGCCGTACTACCTCAACTGGAGTGTAAATTAAAAAGTGCATCGGAAAGTGAAAGATTAGGAGCGGTCGCGTTGTTAGCAAGAATGTTCAGTGAAAAAGACTCGCAGCTCGCAAAACAGCACACGACACTATGGTGCGCATTTCTTGGACGTTTCAATGATATATCCGTGGCGATTAGAACGAAATGCGTTCAGTATTCCATGCATTTTCTACTCAATCATCCCGACTTGCGTAAAGATATAACTGACACATTAAAGTTACGTCAGCACGATGGCGATGAAAATGTAAGATACGAAGTGGTTATGGCTATAGTTACAACGGCCCGTCGAGATTTTCAAGTCGTATCGGATTCGGAAGACTTATTAGAGTTTGTGAAGGAGCGTACGTTAGATAAGAAGTTTAAAATACGTAAGGAAGCGATGTCCGGTCTCGCGATGATCTACCGTAAGCATCTGAATGATCCGGATGTGCCAAATGCAACTAAGAAGGCTGTCACTTGGATTAAAGATAAAATTTTACACGGTTATTATATGGCCGGTATGGAGGATCGGCTGTTGGTCGAAAGACTTTTAAACACTTGTTTGGTTCCGTATCAGTTGAGCACTTCGGAGCGCATGCGAAAGCTCTACCATCTTTTGGGAACGGTAGACGAACACGCGACTAAGGCCTTCATGGAGTTGCAACGAAATCAATTGTGTGTACGTAAACTTGTACTGGAATGGCTAGAATTACATCATCGATCTGTATCGGCGGACATACAAAAAGAATTGGCGATTAAGGTTCAGGCATTGTCCAGGTGCCTTCCGGAGCCGGTAAAAGCTCACGAGTTCCTAACAAAATTTAGTGGTCACCTAAGAAGAGATTCGGCTTTATTAGATAGCATGGAAATGGTGGCGAGACCGTCTGTTAGTTGTCAAGAATGTTCTGATGCCACTG